AAAGAAAATCCTATATGAAATATCCTCCATCAACCATTCCCAGAGAATATTCAAATTACGATTTCAAAAGAATAATAGCTGAAGAATCCCTCATATCATATATCTTTATTAGATTCTATCATTTTGATCAAATAAAATCGAATGAAATGAACGCATCTTCGTACATATCCCTCCACAAATAATGAAAGAAATTGACTTGTCAATTTCCTCGATGATCAAAATGGTTTATCCCACCCTGCCGACCCCAATATATTTTCAAACGCCCGACGGAAACGACCAGTGGCATAATCGGACTCCAATGTTGAATTCGTTGTAAGAAATTCTTTGCCGAAGCAAATTAAACGCCCCATGTGCATGAGGCAAACTCCAGAGCCTGAAAGAATTTCTCCAATTTTCGTTGCTTCCCATCTTGGAATGATGGTTTGAACGTTATAACAATGATTTGCTCAAATCAAAGTATCACGGCATGCGTAAAGTCCAAATCTCAAGCATCATTCCTTGGTCTCTTTTGTTTCGCATGCCAGCTATGGCGGGGTCTGGATGGCGTCAGGCTCTGAGAACTTGTCGAACTTCCCCCTCCTCCGCCATGGTGCCTTACGCCCGCCCTTCCTCTCACCCGGTCGCCTCAGCCAAGCACACCGCAATACTAAACATGCTTACAAAACACCGACTGGGTCTCATGCAGCGATGTACTGAGAACCGATCAGACTGGGGTCATCCCACGCTTTCACAGACTGGGACGGTTCCTGCAAGAAACAGTCTTGTCCATGCTCCGCGAAACTCTACTACAGCGTGCATCCCAGAATATCTCAGGCACGGAAGGAAATAGTATCAGGCAGCTGTAATTTGAAGAGAACGGCAACTGACCATCTTCGACTTGAAGCTGTCGGATTCAAAGACTCCGAGGAAGGAGTACTTTGGCTGATGCTCAGCAAGAAACTGCACCAATGCTGAGCTGACAGGGGGTGTTATTCCTCACACACTAGATTTTTGATTGCTGAAGAAAACACTACTGTACGTCGGCCCAGGTCCGCCCATGCAAGAGCTGCTGAGGCAGGCCTCGTCGTTTCGTTCTCGTTGCCTTGCAAAATGGGGCTTCACTTGGCACGACAAACACCACCATGCTCCTCACAAATACAAGACACAATGAAACAGCATCGGCGCGCGCAGCCCGCATCACCCATCCCGCCTTTGCTTTCTTTCGTCGGCAACCTTTGCGGCCAATCGGCGCAATCGAGGCAGCTCTGCCTGCCAAGCAAGGCCACAACTCCAGGTGCAGCTTGCTCATGTTGTTGCTGCAAATCAGGAGCACAGCGCTGTGGAAGCTCTGCTTGTAGGAACCGTGCCCAATGTATACGCTTGCATACGCCTGCTATGCACTTTGAATAGCAAGAGCCATATAACAGCCTGAAGCTGAAGAAACCGCTCTGAACCGAGAATGGTCTTCACAGTGCCAACACCTCGGCTGCATTGAGGGCCTTTGGGGCCTTTGAGGGATGACGCTTTAGTGGCCACAATAGTGGCGACAGCAATGCTAGCCTCAACATTTTGTAGCCATTCACGCACCTTCGCTGTGCTGCCAAAGCACTGAAACCGTTGGGCATCACGCCATTCGCGAACATCTCGCCTGTGGCAACTCTGCTGCTACAGGCCTCTAAGTCGTTTAGGCTTCAAGCGGCTGTGGTACGAGACAGCCCCGTCGAGTCATGTAAGTTCACCGAACACAAGGCATCTCGTGATAGCATCACGAGCTCCAGCAAAGTGCGGCAGAGCTGCGAATCATAGACTCAGCCAGGTCAGCATTCTTGGTAGATTTGCCTTCGAACTTGCCGCGCTTGCAATGCGTGATTCGAGCTAGTTGCCACCAACCAGTCGCACATGTGCAAAGCTGAACACTGTGGAGTCCCCCCCTCCGTCCCTCCAATGCGGCCTAGCAGCAAGCTGCTAAGACCCAGTTGTAGACCGGAGTGTTGGGGCTAAGATTAGCCTGCCAAATGCAGAAGCACAGAACGACGCCATAGCATGCAACGTTGGATGGCTGAAAGGACCTGGGATTCAACATATACATACAATGACATGTACATTGACACCTTGAATTCTTATCTCCAGGGCAGCCTCCGACATCGTCTGGAGCCAGGCCGCTGCTTCGCGGTCGCGCTTGGCACGAGCAAGGCCTGTGATCACCCGCGCCTCACTGCAATTGTTGCGAGATCCGCACACATCAGTTTCGCACTGCAAAACTGCATTGCATCATTGATTCTCGAGATCTGGGAATCTGTTCCAAGGCCAGGGGTTAAAACCTCTTGCTGGTAGCAGGATGTTGCTTTGCTGCGGGTTGCAGCCTCACCCACGCTGTATCAAGACGGGACGACGCGTGACAAGCTAGCGGGATGAAGATGGGTTCAGGCTTGAGTTGCAAGGTGCGATAGCCGATCGCCAGCTGGTGCAATGGTTTACGGAGATAGATATGCGGCATATCGTTTAATTCGGCGTGTGTGTGTGTGTGTGTGTGTGTGTGTGTTTGTTTGTGTAAGTTCATGTCGCTTCTCAATATCTCAATAATATTCTCTATATGCTGCCGGAAGGATGTGCACCACTCCTGTCACTATTTGAAGAAAAACACCCTTTTCATACAAAATCTATTCGTCATCATATGAATAGTAAGTGTTCATCCCTACATGTAATTCTCTCTCTCTCTCTCTCTGTATATATATATATATACACCTATGCGTATGTATGTATATATATATACACCTACATACATAACTTTCATATAATATGTATGTATGTATGTATGTATGTAGGTATGTAGGTATGTAGGTATGTAGGTATGTAGGTATGTAGGTATGTAGGTATGTAGGTATGTAGGTATGTAGGTATGTATGCTGCCCAGACACATAAGCAGATGCATCGGGCTTGAGGGATGACTCCTTTGCATGTGAAGATGCTAATCTCCATGGCACGCTGCACCCCTAAACAATGCCTTGGCGCCCATATGGTGCAATGACTGTGCTGGTCGGTGGAACCCAACGAACCCACCTGCTTTCTTCTCATTGCACTGAGGATGCACCCTACTTGCAGGTCAGCTAGAGGTGATACACTCAAGTAGACCCGCCCGTCCTCCATGCCAACTAGTGCTTCGATCGCATCTTCCATAAGGTTTGCCTGCATGTCGCCAGTCGGTCTAGCTTCTCTTCTGAAATGCACATCGATACTGCAAATTTCGATTTGTGGCTGATCAGCAGGGGATGACCAGGCAGGTTTGACCGTTGCCCGCCTTTGTCAAAGCATTGATCGTCGAAGAGTAGGTGACTTCGTTCGGGTGCACCCTGACCTGTCTCAACTGATGCAGGACCAGAACTAGAGGGATCCCCTGTAACTCACTCATTGCTGTTGGTGCATTGTGCCTCCTGCATCTGCGTTAGCCATCGCTTCGCCTGTTGCCATCGTCTGAGATCTCACTTAAATTGTGGACGCCCTAACCTAAAACTAGAAGGAAACATACCAGCGTAACAAAGGCCTACAGAAGATCGCTCTTTCAGATCAACCCTCATGGTGCATCAGGTCTAGTACGTCCATCAAGTCTGTTGAGATGGACATTCAAACAACATGGTGTCTAAGCACTAGGGTTCCCCATCCTATCTCGAACACCCGGCAACCGTATCCCCCTCTGCTCTGAGCCTCCCTTTTCGCCTCACGCCCAAGCAAACGTTCGTGCAAAAAGAAAGCAACATCGTGGGGCTGCCAGCGACTCAGGGGCACGGCTGTTTTGGGTTCCTGACTGTATGCACCGACTGGAGCGAAGTCTGCAAGTCCGGAGGCAGCGGTGACTGGATCTCATGAGGCCTTCCATCTGGATCTCGAAACTTGAGCAGGTGCCGGTGCAGCCAGTTTCGGTCACAGAGTGCGGCATCCTCTTGAAAAGTCACGTTGCTTGTGTAGAGACCGTCCCGGACAGTTGGGTGGCCAATGTATGCCATGTGGCTCCGAATCTGATGTTTCCGCCCAGTGACCTTAAGGGACACTTAGAGATCATTCGTAGGAAGTCTTCATGCCTTCTCGCCTTCTCTCTTAACAGCGCATCCTGCTCAAATCCCCAACTCTCTTCGTGCTGGAGCGTTCATGGTTGCAGTTCAGGACTCCGTGCATTTTGCATCTTCATATGTCACTATAACAATCACGGATCACAGCAACCGAAGAATCATGAATCATGAGAAGTCTTTGCCAGCTTCTTTCGCGATCCCTGCGCATGCTGCCGAACTTGCATCCCATCTTCACAAACAATACTGCCGGAAGCGAGGTCCCATGGTTTAGCGAAGCCAACATCATGGCCACACGACAAGCTTCTGCTGATCCCCATGACGGTGTACAGTATGAAAGCCTCATGCTACGGGAGATCAAAACTGCCAAGACCAAGGAGCAATCTGCAGGAGGAGGTGACCAAGAGAACCAGCACGATGCCATTTGCGGCCTGGGGACGCACAAAAACATGAATCACGGGCCTGGATCAGCCTGGTGTCTACTTTTGCAGAGCTCTCTCGAGCGCCTCTTCGTGATCCTTCAATATCCTTCATATGCCTAGCGGCCCAGACATTGAAACCGAGTTTGGCTCCATTTGCCGCGGCCGCCGGAAACGGTTGGGCCCTTGCTGCCCGACCGCACCTGTGCCAAAAGGAGAAATTGTTTTTGGCCTGGACGCCCGGGCATTCCGATCTTAGGCCCAGCGAGGCACTTATCAACTCAACAGCACACAACTTACGAACCCCACAGTGGGACCACCGTGGGGCGGTAACGAACCCTAAACGCCTATAAACCTAGGTTGACGCAAGGGCTTTCTGGTAGGCACCTTTTCGGCACTTTCTGAAACCTCAGCAGCGGGAAGACTCAACCGGGCCTTGGTCGACACGGCGATCCGAGAGGGTGCCAGCCAACCGTGCACCAAAGCCGTGTACTCGCGGCCAAAAGTTCCAAGGTGCAGCTGGAGCTGCAAGTCGTAGAATGCAGCATACGTCTTCGCGACCATGATCAGACCTGATGTGCGGCTGAGCTTCTTAAATCAACATCCCTTCTATGGTGCTATGGTGCTTCTTCCTACAAAGGGGACCCTGATCTAGAGAATAACCACAACGTCACAAAGTCATCTGCAGCTCAAGAATTGGTTGCAGCTTCAGCACCTGAGCTGGGCACATCCAGGCGGTGGAGGAAACCAGAGTTATGACCTGAAGCCATTCAATCAGAGTTGCTGGTTTCGACTCTCGCATCAGCAGGCAAGGTACAATGGTCTCGGTTCTGAGTGCAACCTACATGTAAACCCTAATTTAAAGTCCCAAACTTCTGAACCTTTTGCCTCAATCTGCCCGGTGGCTCGCATCATCCAGGATCCGAAGGCTGCCTTGGAGGAGGGAGAGACGTTCGAGAATTCGAGTCACGGGTGTGGCTTGGGCATGGTTTTGGAGGCCCTCCGTTCATAGAGGAGACCATTGCGAACGGTCTCATGGTGGCTATAAGAGTGCTTCACTGCAAAACAAAAATGTTGCCACTTTTGGGGCTGTCCTTGTAGAACAGCTGAACCTAGTGCGGCACCTAGTTGCGACGATTGAATAAGCGATTGGCGCTCTAGTTAGTCTTTGCCTGTATTTGCAGTGGAGATCAGTGGAGTTTCCCTGGAAGAGGCATGAAGAGGCCTAAGCGTCTGCTCTGCCGGGTTGCCAAAGCGGCTTGCTGCGAAGGAGGACAGCTGCCACTGCGTGTGGGCGCCGTAGACTTCCCAACCAGGTGGCTTAAAGAGGACTGCACGGTCGACAGAGTCCCACACCACCGAGGTGGGAAGCTTCTCCTTGGAAGGTTTGTTCTTGTTTACGGTTCGTTTTGGGGGTGCTCGGCTCTCAGGGGTCGGCTTGTGAAGCGCGAACGAACAAAGAAAGGGGTACGACTGAGGCCTGCTCCAGAGGTGGCTGATAGGGGACACTAGTTCGGAAGCTCTGCCGAGAGCTTTGGTCAAACTCTCGGCCGACTTCCATCAGAGCTTCGCACACAGCGGTTCGGAAGCTCTGTCGTAACCGCCCGGTGTTGGAGAAGGAGCCCAAGATGCCTTGTCAGAGCGAGGTCTGATGTCAGGCTTGAGAGTTTAGGCCCTCAGAGGGTTACCGGGCGCTTAACGAGTGTTGCTGGGTGTTAGGAAGGGCTTAAACTTACTGTGCCCATCTCATAGCGCAAAACACTCAAAACAGCCAAATTGAGGTCGACGTAGGTTTCAGGCCGATGGATCATGAGACGCAGGCCAAGATGCCCATGGCTGAGATGCCTAGGCGATGGAAGGCCAGTTGACTCGGCGCGTTCTGCCTGAAGACAGTGATACTAGTAGAGTCAAAAGCCTTCCCCCAACAAATCCCCAAGCCCTAGTGAACGGCTAGCAACAAGGCTTCCAGTGTGGGGCATTGGAGCCATTAGCTTCCCCACCCGACTCCCGAAGCCGGAGCCCCAACAAATGTTTACGTGTTAGGGCTTTGGACTTTAGAGTCTTGCAGGAGCTTACAGTGAAATCAGTGTCGCTGAGAACATGGGTAGCTGCCGAAAGCACATTGGCCTCAAATGAACACAACTCCTCGTCACTACTTCTGAGCAAACTGGAGCATCAAAACCCCGTCTGGAGGGTGCCTGAGCATCCTAAGTTGGTCCTCCGCTTGTCGCTGGATCGGGTCAGCGGCAAAGGGCTCCGAGCTGGCAGAGATGAGTCCAGACACCTGAGATTCCCCCAGGTTTTTACCCCCCCAACCCCTTAACTTAGAGAGGATTCTAGGGTGTCGCGTACAGGGCTCAAACGATCTAACTCGTCTCGCTTTGTGCCAAATTTCTGCTTTCGATTTCGCAGTCATTCTAGCAGATTCTCTGGCCCTGCAAGCCTGTGTGCTATCAATCGCGGGCCTCGGTTTGGGGAGCCTCTGCGCGCGGGATGAAACTTGCGGTGGCTTCCCACAACTCAGGTCCGTTTCCCTCAAAGAATTCTCAAATTACACTCCTAAGACGAACCGCTGCTGCCCAATCCTCAACGATGCCGTGCCGATCAGAGCTGGCATGTTAAATCTCATGTTAAGGCGGTCAAGGCACGGTCATTGCCAGCTCATCGAGGCCCGCTTTGTGGAGTTCTTTCAGGAACTGCTGGCTTGTGCACCTGCAGGAGCTCTAGTTCTTTTCCTGTGCGCCACCCCATTGAGATGTCTGAGTCTTCAGCCTCCAGAAAGCAGTGCTCTCCACCCCCAGCATCTCCATCGACCATAGGACCCTCGGCAAGTCCTGGCTGGGTCCGTGCTGCCAGATAAATATGGGGTTTTGCACCCTTCGGTCCTCGCCATGACATCTGGTCAAAGCCACCTCCACGCAAGCTTCGTTAATGACCTGCATGGAATGAGGCGTTGACAGGATAGGGAAACATACTGAGAACCTCCTAGCATTGCGTATGGTCAGTCATAGTCAGAAGCGCAGCTGTCAAACCTCAATCCTGCTCCTGTTCGAATCTTCATGCCCGAACTCACATCGACGACAAACCCTTGCGTAGAGAGGCAGCGACGGCGAGCGACGGTCTGCGACGGCTGGGTAAAGCACAAACAGAATCAAGCTGCCGACGTGTGCCACACCCATTTTGGCAAAGGCGAGTCCACGCAGCCAAGAGCCCTCGACTTCGCACGAGGCCCCAAACTCCCCGATCCTGTTAAACCCTGAACGCCTGGAAGGCCCAGATTACACTCCAGAAAGCTTCTCAACCTTGTAAAAGAATAGCCCCACCTCTGGGTCCGACACACCAACTGCCGCCAGAGACCACAGGAAGGACACCGCTGGCAACGATGCTTCACAGGACCACAAAAGCTCCAGGGCCTGGCGTTGCGGAGCTTTTCCACACTCTGGGCTTTGGGGATGATTATTGTAGACCTCTGTAGAAGCTCGCTACCTCGAGAACTGTCGAATGTAGAAGTGAGGTCACTGCATCTGAGCCATGGATGAAGCAGTCCTCAAGCCCCACTCACAGCGACCCCACTAAACCACAGAGACCCAAAACGCGGTGATGCATTGTGAACAGGCATTGCGGCAGCTCTGACATGTAAACCCCAGAGCCTAAACCCCAAACCCCATGTAAAGTCACCTACGTGCCCATTTACACCAAAATGCTGGTTCGAGTCGGTACCCTCCCACGGCAACTCTCTCAACATCCCGCACCCTCAGCCAAGAACCCCTTAAAGAACAGCCAAGAAACCTCTCAAGCGCTAAACCTGCTATCCCCTCACGAACCCTAAGCCGTAAACCGCCGGAAATAACAGCCCGCAAGGCCTGGTCTTGCTCACCGGAGCTAACGACTGCCGCCAGTGCAGGATCGTAGCCCTTGATGTCGGGTTCGAGAGCATCCTGCACCGCATGACTCTCGCAACCAGTAAAGAGTGTGGAATGATTCGCTACAAACACTTGACGGTAGGATTTTAACTGAGGAGCCTTTCTAATGCTACATGCGGCTTTAAGGCTCGAACACAAGTAACTTGATCTCTGAAGTGGTGGCACCGGGAGATGCACAGTGCACGCGGGTCCTCAGCCATGCTTCTCAGGATGTCTATGACCACCTGCCACTGGTCAGCCCGGCCACATGTGCTAATGGCTGCATTGTAGCAGTACGACATATCTGTCCCACTGCATTCACTTCCTCGCAGGGTCGACAGGAGGTGCAGGGCAGGCTGCCATGCAGAAGCTCCACGACAGGCTGTGATGAGGCTTGTGAAAGTCCGTGCGTCTGCTGTGAGATTGTTCTTCTGGAGGTTCGCAAGGAGCCGGAGGCAAACCTGCCAAGCATCCCACGCATCCCCGCAGGCAGTAATCGCCGTGATCGCCGCGTTGTAAACGATGACATCTGGAACTTGGTCTTCTGCATCCAGTCTGGCCAGCAACAGAAGGATTTGTGGCCAGCGACCTGCTCTGCCGATGGCGCTGATCTCGGTGCCATGTGTGACGTTATCAGGTTCAAGGAGCGCATGTTGGGCTTGCTGAAGCAGTTGCAAAGCACACTGCCACTTGTCGCTCTTGGCACATGCACCGCTCGCAGCATTGAATGTAACCGCATCGGGTTGGAAATCCAGGGCCTCGAGGTTTGCCAGGTATTGAAGCGCTTGCTGCCACTGGGTTGCCCTGCCGTGCGAGACAATCAGGGCATTGAAGGTTGACAAATTCTCGCTTATTTGTCGACGTTTCAGAATCATGTGCAGCAGTCTGGCTCGCCGCAAATCGTCGACATTTCCACAGGCTGTAATGGCGGTATTGAACGACATGATGTCTGGCATCATGTCCCTACGAGAGCAGTCGAATAAACAGAAAAGCGCCAGCTGCCACTGAGAGCCTTTCTCGCAGCTACTGATTGCTGCAGTGTAGGTTATGACGCTCATTTGCAAGTTACTTCTCTGTGCCTCTTCGAAAAATAGTAAAGCCCTCTGCCACTGCTCGTCCTTTGCGCAAGAATTGATTAGCGAACCATATGTCACGATGCTGGGCTTCATCCAGCACTCCTGCAACTCGGCCAAGAGACACAAAGCTACTTCCCAACTTCCAAAGCCCTCCCCCATGGTTCCCATAGCCGCATTGTAAGAGATCGTCTCCGTGCGAAGCAGTCGCTTCCGCATCAGCCGGAGAAGGGCCACAGCGAGCAACCATTGCTTTCCACGACTGCAGGCAGCGATGGCCGTGTTGTAGGAGACCTCGGAGCATCGCAGGCCTGCCTCACCCATCCCCGCAAACAAGTCCATGGCACGCTGCCACTCGGCCGCCTTCGAAAAAACAGAGATGCCAGCATTGTAAACCAGTGTGGTCCATTCAACGCCCAAAGATGAAAAGTCATGCAAAAAGCAGGTTGCTAGCTCCCATTTGCCAGCAGGCTCCTGACAGTTCAATTGCTTGCGTCTGTTCTGAACATATGCCCTGTCTCTTAAAAAAAGCGTGGCAAAAAAATGGGTGCAGAGTGCAGCGCAGGTGCACATGAGCAAACGGCGGCACTGAGGGTGAAGACGTCAGGTGTCACCTGCCTCGTTTGAAGCTCGTGTAGAAGAGCGAGCGAGGTCGGCCAGCCACTTCCATGTGTGCAGGCAGTGATGGCGCTGTTGTAAGTGACCACATCTGGCTGCAGGTCCCGCAGAAGAAGCTCTCCGAAACAGGCCAAGGCTGCTGGCCAGCTTGCACCTTTGCCACATGCGCTGATTGCAATGTTGTAGGTTTTTGTCGTTGCCAGTCTTGCTACCACTTGCCCCTGTAGCCAAAGCAAGGTATCTTCCCAAAGGTGCATGATGTCCGTCCATGGGGCGGCGTGAGCCTGTATCAGGCTAATTTCGGAAAGCCAAGCCGGAGGGCTGCATCATAGGCATGGGTCACCAGACATCTTGGGAATGAAAGGGGAAAGGAACACGACAAAATCTCCATGGAAATGATCCTATACACCTTGAAGCAGATGAGCACCTTTTATCCCTCTTCGCGTGTGTTGCAAGCTCGCATGCAACAGTAGCAGCTCCCAGAAGAATCTCATTGGATTCCAAAAGCGCCTCATCAAGGCGGCGCAGCATCCCCAATGCCAGTCTCCATTGGAATTGCCTTCCAGTCGCAATCTCTCAATCTCTCGAAACGCTTGAACAGAGTCACACCCTGACGAACCAAGGCCCTGAAGTGAGTGAAGGATCATTCGAGCATCATGGCCCGCACTGCCAAGAATCCAAGGCGCAATCCACAAGCGCTCATGGCAGCCCCATAGGTGACAACATTCTGCTGCATTCCTCCGGTCGCGCAAGTGCAGGTGCACAGCGTTATGCTGCGGTTTTCTGATCATTGGGGCCTTGAGCACCCAAGTGCTGGCGCACTAAAGCTCGATGGAAGGGCTCCCAGCCTGCATGTTGAAGATCTGCAGCCAAGGCAAATGCGGACTGCCACTGCTCAGTCCCTTCCAGAGCATCCATGGCAGCGTTGTAGATAACCAACTGAGATCAGAAGTCTCGGAATCTAGTGACATTGACCACTCTACCCACTGCAACAACCTCGATCGGATCAAGAACTGCTTTGCCGAGGACTTTGTTGCAAGACGGCCTGAGGCGAGGACATTCGCTTGAAGATGTGAATTCTTGAATTCCTCGAACAGCTGCAGAGCCGACTGCCAGTGTCGACAGCGCCCACATGCACTGATTAGCGCGCTGTATGTCACGACGTTGGGCTGTAGCTGACAACCTTTCTGAAAAAAAACTGTAGAATGCGGCATTTGGAGTGTTCAACATTCTGAAAACACACAGCCCCCCCTTCTGCCCAGTGTCGCAGCAGCGGCTGCAGCTGCAAGTCGGTGAGCTGCGATGCAATCAGCAAGGCATGCTGCCACTTTGCACTTTTCTCGCAAGCGCTGACCACGGCATTGCAGTTGATCAAATTGGGGCGCGTGCCGCTAGCGAGCAGCTGATGTAGAACTATTGTAGCGAGTTGCCACTGTCTGCCTTTCTCCAGTGCGCTGGCTGTAGCACCGTATGTAATTACATTTGGATTCCAGCGAGTCTCTCGGACAATGTGGTACATGGTGAACGCCTTCGTCCAGGCCGCTGCCCTCTCACAGGCAGTGATGCTTGTGTTGAAGCTGACGAGGCTTCTCCTCTTCAGAAGAAAGCAACATGCAGCTTCACATTCAGTGTGAATGACTGTGATTGTTGCAGCTCTGACGACATCTTGCAGGGAGCCTGAGTCAGCCTGAGAAGCGATTTTCAAAAAGCAGCAGTGCAAACCCATTATTACTGACCTGTCACCTGCCAACTACATGAAATGCACCATCTCCTCACGGCGCGGCGTGTGAACTCCAGCGCCACTTCGAAAGCTGTCTGCCAGTGCTGGCCAGAGCTGCTGCTGCCAACGGCCGCGTTGTAGGTGATCGTAGTTCCGCACCTGGGCCCGAGATCCGAAACCTGCTTAGACTCAGCTGCCCCCTGGCCCCAACTCTTGTGTGGTGCTCTCGATACTTTACTTCGCTTTCATGTTCTAGATGCTCACAAGTTTTGGAAGGTAATGAATGCGTCGGAGGATGTTTGAGGACCCTTCAAGGTTCGGGGATGGTGTGGGCTATGTTTGGAGCACTTAGGTTGCGCGTCATTCGGCACCAAGCAACAGCGCTGATGCGTGGAGCTTGTCGAGCAAGACAAGCGCGGATTCCCATCGCTCACCTTGCAACCCCGTGAGGCCCCGCTCTTACCAGTAGCCTTCGTTCTATACATGCCAAACAGGGAATCCGCTGGAAGGTGTCTCAGGTTCCCGCCACCTAGTCACCCTTCCAGTGGGACTCTTCCGACAGCCAAAAACACAGTGAAGTAGTGAGGCCCTGAATCCCCAATCCCGAGCCCGACACAGCGGAAGCTTCTTTGGCTCTCCTTGGGCCGTGGGCCCGGCCGAGGCGGGCCGCGTGGCAACAAAATGTTGGGTTGGGGGCGAAAAGCCCCTTCAGCTAACAGGTCGACACTGCATCATGCAATTCGTCTTCTGCACTGGGCTTCTCTGAGGTTCTGGGTTAAAGGGCTTTAGAGTGCTGGGTCATGGTCTCAGAGATTCAGGGCAAACAAGGCAACTTAGTCAGCGGCCCTCACAGGTGCTTATGGAAGCGCTCAGGCCAATCCTGGGCTGCGCAGGCACCCGAAGAAAGCAGGGACCTCAAGCCTCAGAAATACGGAATTGGCCACCACCTCCACCCCCCAACCCCCAAAACAAGAAAGAAGAAAAGAATGCAAAGGAGCCAGCTAGCATCTCACACCAGAAACCTTCAACTACCAAAGTTCAAAAACCCAATCAAGCATCGTGTCTGCCTGCAGGCTGCGATCCTCAAAGCCATGGGGCCATGTTCAATGTAGTCCAAAAGGGCATCTGCCGTCTAGAACTCTAGATCCTATACCTGTGAACACAATAACCGAAAAACACGATTTTTGCTGGAAGTTACGATTAGACTTGTGAAACCGAAGCTCATTCTAAACCCTAGCGGCTCCCGAAAGCTTCACGTCCTGGCCTCCAGTGCCCCAAGCGAATCGAAGGCCCGATCCCACAAACTCCCCTTCTCAGAGGCACTGATGGCCTCGGCAACCGGGAGAGGCAACATTCAGCCCATACTTGCATGGAAACCCCAAGACTTCCCCCCCACGTCACATCAACATTCCCCCCCCCCCCCCAAAAAAAAAAAAAAAGATAAAGAACGAACAACTTATCCTTTTTGCGGATCCCCTATTTGCGGGTATTTGTGGGTAACTCAACAAGGACCCCAGAAGGAACGCCTTCGAACATCACCCTCATTGAAAACCGATTTGTGAGTTTGCCGACATGGTCTCAGCTCAGAGGAGGGGCTGTGTCGAAGGTAATGACATCAGGCTGCAGAGTTTGGCTGGACATGTCGGCCAGAACTGTCAAGGATAGGTTCCAAGCACCCTGGAAACCATCAATGCTGGTGTTAAAGCTGATGAGGTCCCTCTGGAGTTGTCGTTCCTGCGCACGCATTTAAAAGATGAAAGCTTAGGGGGCCTAAGCTCCTCAAGCCAAGCCCAGCTCTCCTTGGAATCATGCAGGAGATGTAGTGACCATCGCCAATGCCTTACAGTATGGCTCCGTTTAGATGGGCTTCAGGATTCAGGCCTCAAGGTTTTGCACGCAAATGCGTGGGCCCTTGCAGGAGAGTCAGCTGTCTCATTCCTCCTTGAGCACCAGTGTGGCAAATTTGGTCATAGGCAGGTCTTGGTATGCCAAGAAGCGCAGCGGCTGCGCTGGCACTGAGCGACGTGTTGTAGCTGAAGAGATCCTTTTGAAGATGTTCCCTGGCATTGGGGGCTTCACATTACCCGGCCCTTTGTTGACTCCCTCGGCGCATTATCGTTGAAGCCTCACCGATGTGCTCTCAGTGTGTGGAAACTTGGTCTTCCACTAAGTACTACTCCGACATATGCTGGCCTGTCAATGTCGGCGAGCACTGACAGTGCTGTCTCCCAAAGCTTGCACTTGCCAGCCGCATTGATCGCAGCATTGAAGCTCACCTGACTGATTTGGCGAAGTGGCCTGTCAACCTTAAGACCCAATGAACCCCTTGGAGTGGCATGACCACACCGCCGACAGTATCTTTGCAGGCTCGAAACCAAATCGGCCCTTTTGCGCAGCATTGCGCAGCAGCCTTGCCAGCCCCTGCACTACTCCTTTCTGAGGGAAGCCTGCTGCGGTCGAGAGACCAGGTCAGCTTGGGCCCAGCTGCTAGATGCGTGATGCAGCAGCTGCAGTGCCTTTTGTTTCAAGGCTGACATGATGCTGTGTGGCCTGACCAGGCTGCATGCGTGCACCCCAAAGCATGCCCAAACCCTCGAAGCTGCAAGCTCACTCGCTATCGACGGTCGCCAAGAAACCTGTCGCCATTTCTTCTTCTTGGCAAGGCTGGTGATATCCTCAAGACGTCATCAGTCTGAGCGGGGGGAGGGGGTTGTCACCACAAAGTCACAACTACGGCTTGTGCTTGATCTGGACTTTCTTTGTTTGCTCGTGGCCGATACCGGCACTTGTGGCCCCGGGAGCCCGGAATGTGCCCACAAATGGGCCTCTTTGGCTTGACCGCACCTGGAAGAAGAATTTTGAGCTCCGAGGTACCCGAAACGGAGGTTGGGAACCCAACCAATGTGACAAGGGCCTGGGGGCGTCGTTTTCCTCTGCATGTGACAAGGGTAAGAAGCAGCCTTCCGCAGATCTTGAAAATGACCTCTGCATGATTTCTGAGAGTCGCTCCGATCTGAGGGCACTCGATGAGAGACGCGTACCCGACCTCACATTCGCACTCACTTCACCCCTCTCATCAAACCAGGAGACCCTTCTAAGCAAACCCAGCTGCATGTTGAAACTGGACTACGAAGGGCTACTACAGCCACCTGCCAAGTCGGTGATCCTGCTTGTTGCGCGCAAGCAGCCTCCCCCCATCTATCGCCATCCGGCCCCGCGGTTCCCATTGGAGTTGGCATGCCGACTCGGCAGAAGCTGCAGCCGTAACCGTGCGGGGGTGGCACGACATAACGGCTGCGGCTACGGCTTTTTCCCAGTCGAGCCATTCGCACGGCATCGGTTGAATGCTATGACGTCCAAGAGACAGCACCCTCGACAGGGTCTTAGGGACACATGTGGATACCGTCGAGCGTCCTAAGGCACTGTGGACGGTCAGAGAGTGTCGCAAATCCCCTCGCGTCCCACCTCCTGTGGTCGACCCGACTGGGCGCAAGCATTGATGACCTTGAAGGCTGTCGAGTTTCGGGTGCGGCAAGAAATTGATTTCTGACGAAACAGTATATAACGCCCTACGGTGACAACTGCCAGAAATGCGGACATTTAAACAGCAATACTCATATTTTGGAGTTTGCGCGGCAAGGGTCGTTTGGGGCCTACGAAGCCCGAAAGACTATACCCCGGTTTCACGCTGCATTTAAACAGACGGACGTTTACTCACACGGATATTTAAGCAGACATTTTAGAATACCTCCGTAGCTGCTGCATACCTCCGATGGCTGCTACACCGTCCACGGGCCCACCGTCCACATGCTTAAAACGTAGTACCATGTAACGGGAAACGGTTCAAGAGTTCAACCCAAGGACCCAGTCCCCGGCTTCCCGGCTTCCCCCAAATGCTTGGCGAGGCGCAGTGGTGTAGGAGATGACATCAGGAGTGATGCCCGAGGCATCCATCTCACCTGTCTAGGGTCAGGTTTATACTGTTTATACTGCAGGGATGTGGCTTCTATGAGGGTCAGTATCAGCATGTGGTAAGAGTTGGGCACTCGGTTGCATGTGCATTGGGCAGATCGAAGCATACCCTCTGGGGCAATCGCCGAGCCACATCTCTGCTTCAGTGACACGCCCCACCCTGGAATGAAGCTCGCAGACGCGGTCCCGGACGCCATATGCTATGATCCCAGCGGAAAAACAACTGGCTCTTCTAACTTGCAAAGCATGTCGCCACGGATGCTGCAAGAATCATCTTGCTGCAATACCTGCAACCAAGGCCGGGCAGTCCTCGCGCAGGCATTGATGATGCCTCAGCTCTGACATGCAGGACTGCGTAAGACCGGACAGGGGCCTCTAGTGCAGAACTATTTGGAATGGGAGCTTTACCGCTACTGGTACCATGCTGTGGGGTTTGGGGCTGATCTTGAAATATTTGAGTGGCCTCTCCCCTCTGCAACCTCCTCAGGTTGTTCAATCGCTCGTCCGGAAGGGCCGGGCAGAAAACGCGGCATCCACTTGCTAGGCTTGCTAGGCCTGCTAGGCCGATCGGAAGCCGAGCGTCTGTTCCAAGCGATGGCATCCGGTTCGATAGCGGCCGTGACCATGTTCTTGGGTGGATCAAATGGTGGAACTCTTCTGCTTGTGCTTGGAATGACAACCATTGGACCATGGCCTACTGTACAGGCACGCAAACATTTACAGAATGCGGTCTGGCAGATCTGTTTCGGCAAACCTCCGCTAGCTGCTCCGAGCGGCGTCGAACCACCGGATTGCCTCATCGGCTTTGCCTGCCTGGCGAACAGCGTCGTGAACAAAATTCTCATATTGGACGTTGTGTTGCCGAACTCAACACAAACCAGAAGAAATGATCTCAATAGACAATGGAAGACTCATCCCTTGTTGACACTTGGGCGCACATGAGGAATCTCCAGTATAGCCCATGTGATTTGACAACTCTTGGACACACTTAGACACTTGACGACACTTGCGCAATTGTGCCCCTATGTGCCGGATAGCTGCCTTGGCACAAGCAGAGATCACCCGGCCGAAGACGTGGACCGTCAAATGTCCATCCTTTGGCAAGGAAGTCGGGCTTGGGGAGGCTGCGGAAAAAACAAAACTGTATCATTTATAGTTGTTCACCTAAAGCACCCTATGCGGCAAGCAAGGCAACTGCTGAAACGGGCGGCCCCATTTAGTCCTGAGTCAGGTTCGAGCTTTGGTGAAATTTGGCAAAAGCTATCTTTGCAGGCTCCGAGTTCTTCAAAGTAATGGCGGCATTCAAGCTCAGGTTGCCTTGAATTCGGCACGGATTTTGGGCTGAACACCTAGGTGACGACAACCTTTCAGTCCTGCACTTGGATAAGTACTCATTGTTCTTTGGTGTCTGCACATGTTCCTGCGGGACCTGTGGGAAAACCCAACTTTGACAGCAGCTGAAGCGGACACGGAATCGTTCGATCTTTCTGAGCAAAATCGTCGAAACCCATTACAGCCACAATGCAGGCCTCCTCCAGCTTTTTCGTGAGCTGGCGCGCATCCTGCCAAAAACGGCACAAAGCTGCCGCAACTGCCATGGGTTTGTGTCTGCGGCATACTTGGCAATTCCGGTTGGCACCTAGCGAGACTCTTTGTGACTGTGGTTGCGCAGCATCTCAAGAGTCCTGGAGCTCTGCAAACCCCCGAGGGGAGGCCAACAAATTCCCGAAACCCCAAACTGTGCGCAACCAGCGTGGCCTCCGGACTATCGCAGCCTCAAGTGAAGCGACACACCGAAGGCGAGCTCGGCATAGTTCACGAGGGATTCTGAGAAGAAAGCGGATCTATCTTGAGTCCCTGGCTGGCAAACTCTTCGACGAGAGTGGTCCGCGCCATGAGGTCAACGCGCCCCTCGTCCGCCTGCAGGGTGTGTCAATGTGTCACCAGGGTCAGCCAGCGGCTAGCGTTGACCAATTGCCTGCAAGAGCGTGCTGTGAATTTTCCGGCTTACGTAAGTCAGCGCCAAAGGACTGCGGTCCGGCAGGCACCTCAGTAATCCTTGGTGTGATAGCGATTGCAGCTCCTCTTTTGTGTCGCCTCTCGCTAGATACGCTGCATGCCATGGCCTCTCAAGCATCATCAGGTCCACTTCATTTCCTGACATCTCCTTCTTCACGACTTGCAGACGGTTTGCTTCAGCATCTTGCTCGGAAAAAGATCTTGGCAGTACATGGCGTGGACATAGCATGGACTAAGTCGAGCACAAGTGAACCAATTCGATCGACTCCTGCACCTCTTGCTCAACCCGTCATTTTGCCACGTTTTGCCTCCCGTCCTTCATGACTTTGGCCAGTATCGCAGTCTCACTGCGTGAAAAAGCCGTGCTTAGGGCAGCGAAAGGCCTTTGCCTGTCCGCCTGTAGGGCCTACAGGGTGACCCGGTGGTGTGACGCTCTTAACGTTTCATGAAGGCAACCAATTTTCATGTTGCTCTGCCATAATCATGCTGTGTCCAAGCCTTGACCCTCTGAAAGGCAACAACGCACGCGGAGTTGCCTCCAATTGCACAAGGAGGTCGTTGGCCTGCTGACGACTCCGCGCCCGTGCAAACGCCTGCAGGCAAGTTGCCAGTAAGCTTAGACTTTCTGCCAGCTTCTTCGAAGTGGCGATTCGGCTCATGCAAAGAGGCACCTTCATGAGGGCAATGTAAGCTGGTCGCAGAGGAATTCCTTGGTCGAACTTGCGGCAAGGGGCTGTTCGAGGCTGCTTCAGCATGTTTGCACTTCGCTCCGGCCGCTGTGGATCTACAAGATGATCGCATTTCAAAGGTCTAGCACGTACTTCGAGGCCGCCCTGACCTAACACAAAGAGGTGCTGGAGGTACCGACCGAAACCCACAATGTGGCGGAAAATCCGGGATGCTGCATAAGGCGACTGTGAAATGAGTGAATTTAGTGGAAATAGAAGTATGGTTCAAATATGTTCAAATTTATATCTCATCGTCGAACCAGGATCCCCACCACGCGGCCCGGGCTGCTTTCGCCCATCCTGGCCACCGATAGAACCGCGGCCCCGGCAGAGCTTCACAGCAAAGATGTGTCTTGTACAATTTTCTATGGGCACAGTCATCAAAAGGGACCCTCATTCGGAATAACCAACTGGAAGGGTACTTCAAACCGTGCCTCATCATCATCTGCCATGGAGTTCCTCAGACTGCAGACATCGCAGTAGGGGTTGTTCGAATACAGGTAGCTCGTAAGACCCTGAGAGATGGGGGCCCACAGTGGGTTCTGCACTCTGCACAAATGAAAGCCTTGGACAGTAACAACGGCCACAATTGCCAGAAACCACTGAGCAGGTTGTGGTTAACAGCCAGGACACACATCTGCGGCGCCCGCTCGCTCCAGCCACGCGAGGCCCTCTGCAAGCTTCCCTGCCTGGTCATACGGCTCGGGGCAGTTTAAGGGTTCAGGGCCCAAGTGTTTTTTGTCGGTTGTGTAGCAGGCCCATCAAAGCAATTCCGGGAACAACTCGAGAACCTAACCCAGCTCACTCTGTCTTCCATATGCGCCGTGGCTCAGCGAATTCGAACCGCGCCTTTGCGCAGACCGTCACCGCTTTCACGAAGAAGGAAACAGCACCTCTGCCTGCAATGCGGCGATTCGACGACCGAATGGGCGAATGGGCCTACATAGTGCCTGTAAAGAGCGCCAGTCCTCCCTCTAGTGAGTAACTTGCGCGGTCACGGACGGTTTCAAGCAAGGACGCTTCAACCCTGAAACCTACAGCAAGCCTTTTTCAGCCTTTGGCATTGGAACTTTCAGCAGAGATCCTGACCACGCACAGGAAAGCCACTGAGGTATGGACCTCCGCTAGGCGGATCAATGCCAGCTTCCTGGCTCCCCACTTTCTGCAGTTGAGGGTTTGGGTTTCATCAGGGTGCCGGCACGAAGCAACGATTTGTGATTTGTGGAGACTTGTGGACGCATATGCGCGCTCCTCCATGCCATTCAACCACGCAAAGGCCTGGCAAAGAAACACACACAAGATTCGATCTTTCCCTTGCTCATTCCTGTTTATGTCGCACTCAGGTTCTTACTCTGTTAGAAGGAACTCCGGCAGAAGGCCCGAAATCTGTGTACTGCCGGAACATTGACACACGTTCCCGAACTCCACAGGCGAAACGCAGGTTCCATGAAGCTTGTGCAACACATTACAATGTTCCCCAAGGGGTTGAGCAAATTTGCATTCTTGCTGTGCAAGGCTACTATGTCAAAGTAGCAGGTATGTCAATATTCTATGGTGCCCTTGCTACAACCACGGTTGCTATGAACACAGCTGCTGCGCTGCTAGGTTCACGTGTTGAAGCCCATCTGTGCCTAAACATGCCAGACCTGTGCAAAAGCCCGCCAATGCTGGTCCGGGAGCCTCTGCGAAGGACCCGTTTTGCATACACACCTCCAAAGCCTCACGTGCGCATTCTGCTGCGCTACAGCCCGTTTGACGGTGGTTGTCCTGCCGATTAGTTGAAAGGCACATGGCCTGCACAACTCAAATTGGTACTGGGAGGCTGACAAAGTCGGCAATGCCCGAATCTGAAGCAGCACTATATCATTCCAAGCCGCTAGAGTCACGAACTGTGCATCGTAATCCAGGCCGGACCTGCAGCCATTCTGTGTGCACCAGTGACGCCAACTCAGACTCTGTGCAATTTGCTACATCAAATCCGCAATCGAAAACCACATGCGAATCCAGCCTTACGACTTGCCGCAGCCACCTGCAGATCACATCGCAGAAAGCAAGAATGAGCACTTGGACAAATGGTGTACGTAAATCTCGCATGTACATGGTGGTGCGCATCACGTTTTTGCATTGGAACCAGCCCAGAATGGGCAAATATTAACCATTCAAGCTGCATAAACATCCAGTAGGACCGTCATCTGAAGTCCCGAACAAACGAAACAAATGCCTTTCCATCGGCTGGGGAGGGGAGGAGACTAGAATGAGCAAGGGAGAAGGATTCAACCGACAATCTTCCAAAGCTTGAGGGCTCGTAACTGAAGCTCTAGACTCCAAACTGCTCACACAGGGCTGGGCTGGCCTGTAAGCCTCCGCGCGCTTTCGCGCAGAGAGGAGACCTCAACCAGTCTTCTGCTGATGGAAGCACATGACAATGTTTCATCATATCTTCGCCCCCCCCCCCCCGTCACGTGCCCGACACTGTGCGCACCTCACATGTGCGATCATGTGCGTCTGCAAAGCTTGATGGCCCGCCTCGCAAGATGCTGTCATGGATTCGAATTGATGGCTCCACCGACATCTCGCCCATGGTCTGGCAGAGCAAAGAAATCCATTCTGGACCCAATGCCGTCGCTCTACATCTGAAAGCCTCTTGGATATCTCAAGCTTTAGTTAGAAGGATTCAGGGAGGATGCAGCCGAAGTTAAGGCTAAGCTCTTGCATGTTTGAGGCAGAGAAGGAGGGGCGACTCGAACCCTACGGCGGCCAGATTACCCCAATCCTGTCTGACGCATGCCGCTGTTGAACCTTCGTCGACAATGTGTCGTATCTTGGGGCGAGGTTTAGAGGAATGAGATGGGTCGCGGGCTTCTCTTCGCTGGATTGTGCTCTGCACTGCGTTCTGTCTTGTGCTGCGTTCACCACAGCGCACGATGAACAACACGAGCACGCGTCCACGTCGCAGATCGCACGCACGGACGCTCAGCGGCCTTCAACAGGGACGACACCGCGCCGGGGCGGCCTTGCTTTGCCAACCTCTGCATCATGTCGGCTAGTGAGGCGGAATATGGGCGGAGTAAGACCAAAACTGAAAACTTAAGGTCTCGCAGCAACCGCGGGAATCGGGCAACTCGACCAACCACATCTGTACTCAGTTCTCGACTGAGCAAACCAAACTGACCGACAGCTGAGGTCACTACGCCTTCGTGACCAAACCATACGACCATATGTTTGGTCTCGTTTCGCGCCTCCTTCGCACACTGAGGATTCTAGGCATGTTTCTAGAAACAGCTCACGAAGACATCAAGCCCGTCAACCTGCGTCCAAATGCATGCGGCAGACAGCGAGTGCGCGTCCTCGATCCGTTTGAAGCTTCTGCCTGCCCATCACATATGAAGACGGCATGTGAGCCTCTGAAAAACCCTGTGTTCGTTGAAGGCTATCGAGTTCGGATCTAGCACCCCAGATGCAAACCAAAACATGCCCGACAGCAGCACTTTGGGTGGGTCCCGATCGCTGTCCGAGGAAAAGTGATACAACCCAAAAGGCATGCAACAGTCATGCAACATCAAGACAAGATTAGACCTGCACAAGTTCGTCACGTGCTGGTTGCCTCCCTGTCTCTCACTGTGCATCATCCTAGTCTTCGCTGCACTTTGGTCTAGGACCACACAAAGAACGTGACATGCTCCGGCTAACACCTAAGTCACTGCTGAGGAAGCGCTTGTTGCATCACAAATGCAGGCTCAGGCCTGTGGAGCCATCATCGAAACTAGCCAGTCAAAGGCATCATCGACCCTCCCACTTTTCAGCAGGGCCTGCCGAGCGAGTGTGATCATGCCCGGTGTGCATGCAAATCTATGGCTACGAGGCATACTGTTTTTGCACACTTGCCGACGCATCGCAATGTACCTCCGCGTGTTGTGCTTGGTAAAGTGTGCTCGGTCGTGCCGGAAACTCCTCCGGATGCTGAATCAGCCTGCCTGAAGCATACCGTTGTGCATGACCACATCCACTGGCACACCGTCTTCCTCGAGAGATCGGATTTCACCCTGCTTACAGTATCAATTATCAATCTGTTCCTGTGGAGGCAGGAGCATTGCCAAGCGCCACGCATCCATGTCGCCCATGAGGGCTTGGATGTCTTCAGGCCTGCCCGCCTGCACGTCATCTCCCACAGACTGGGCACTTCGACGCTCACAGTCGCCCCAAGCAGGCAAGGCAAACGGGACCTTCGATTGAGGAATTGGGGGATTTAAACGCCCAGCAACCGCTGAACAAAGGAGGCTGTCCCAAAAATCTCACAGGCATTGCCCAGTTGTAGCGCTTCATGCATCCTCTTGCCGCGTGCCTTTGCGAATCCGTCTATGACGCTTCCATACGAAGTAACTGGGCAGCAACGCTGGAACTGGGTGGTGGAGGATACTGAACTCATCTGCCCGTGCGACCCAACTTCGTAGCATGGCTGGGCGAGTCATTTTTGAAAGCCTGAAGATGTGTAATGGACCCATGGATGCAAAAGCTGCCGAGTGGCCATCTGGCGCCATCTCCATTGCTCTGATCTTCCTGAAGTGACTTACATGTGCAGGCTGCGGGCATCGAATGAAACGTTCGTGCATGCAAAGCCCATGCACAAATGGGTATTCACAAATGGGTCGTGTTTCTTCTCGCTTCATGGACAAAGCCGCGTGTCGCTTGTGGGTTGATTTGGGTTTGAACCTTCAGCTTAGGTTTGCCATCAGAATGTTGCCGCATGCTCCTGGATTCTTGCTGGGCCGACATCTTAGCAAGTTGCGGCGACTTGCGTCCCTCGTCCGAAAACAGCGACATTGGAACGCACGGTGTTTCAGAAAAGTGCTTTCCCAAACGTCTCTCTTCAAGGACGCAGTGCAAACAGCAAATGTGGCCAATTCGTGCCAAAGCTCCACGAGCACTAAAGCCTGACGCTTGTTGCAATCTCACCTTGAGACATATTGCCCATGTCAGCCATATACAAGGCGAGCGTCGCAAGGAGAATGGCCGCCTTGTCCACTAGTCCTTCCTAGGCCCAGAAAAGCGGGGCTGAGGGCATTGGCTTTCAGGGCCTTTGCTTGCCCCCGCTGAAAATGTGTAGAGCCCATCATCACTTGGCCACGCCAAACGATCCAAGTGAAGAAAGCTGCCGCCAACGGGCCTTTGAGCACGTGTGGATCACACGACCATATGAAGAGCTCGAGGGAGTCACCTTGACGGGTGGGCAGCCCTTGTGTGCTGTGGAGCTGCCAGTGGAGTTACTTTGGCGAGGACTTCCAGGGCAAAGCTCGGACATGGCTGCCGGGACTGAGGGCACTGCTGTATTTGTCACCATCTCCTGTTGGTGGCTGAACTAGGGTAACTAGGGCAGCTGTTGGCTACAGGGACGAAACTTGTTAACTGCATGAAGGACCGACTGGTGCCCAAGTACGAAATACCGTACATCGCAATCAAGAGTGTCTGAGCTGGGAGGTGTGATGCGCATAGGAAACGAGTAGGACAACATCCGTGCAAAGCCCAGAGCTTTTCAGCGATGTTCCGGCTCGAGACCGGGTCCTCCACCAGCGCGTGGGCATCTTCTGTCTGGCCATTTGCAAGGAGCGCCTGGCCATTGCTCACTGCCGCGCACTTTTCAAGCGAGGGTCGAGATTGCGGGTCTAAACACCTTGTTTCCACTGCAAACTGGCTTGAACATCCCTTCCTCAACCAAACGAGTCCCACCTCGATAGTAGCCTCAGGGCTGGGTGAGCCCGTCGGCCTTGGGCGGCAGGTGGGCACCTCTTAAGATTGCCCCCTGATTTGTGTTTTTAGTTTCTGATCTTTATCTATCGGTGCTTAGGGTAGCCCCCTGCGCACTGTGCGCTCCTGCATGTTTTGCAACAGCAGGCCTTCCAGGAGTTGTGCAGCACGGGAGATGCAAGGGAATGATGTCCCAGAATAGCCCCCGTCTCCAAATTTACCCTTCAAACCCTGTCATTACATTCCCCCTCTGTCCTACTTTGTTGTTGCAATACAAAAAACAGTATAGTGTGCGAAAACAGGGCAGCCGAGAGAGGCTTCTCGACGTGTATTTCCGTGAAAAAGAGTGAGTAGCACGGCTACCACGCCCATGTTTTCTCCCTCCTTCTTCCTTTTCGATTATTCTCTCTTTCTTCCTTCCAAGCTTCGGAAACTCGGAAACGACTCCATTCGGGCCAATCGCCATTGCAAGGAAGGAAGGGAGAGAGAGAGCGCGAGAGAGAGAGAGAGACTGCTCCAAGTTCCTCCGAGCCACCGGATGTCCTGCACAGTAGTGGCTGGGACAGGGTCAGGTTGTTGATTCTCAACATCTCACTCAGCGGCACTCAGTCAATCCTCAATCACATTGGAGGATTTCCGGTCGTCCAGATTCGAGCGCAACTCTACCCGCAGCTTGCGCAGCCTCAAGATTAGATGCGTTGGAGCGTTGGAGCCGCCTTTCGGGTTTTCCATGTTGGGACTAGCCTCTCACGGCAACCCTTAAGCCTTAAACCCATCAAATCCAGAACCGATCGGTGCCGCTCGTCGTCGGAGATGCAAAGGAGCTCGAGACGAGTAAGAAATGCAAACATCTACTCAATCTACTCCTTCTGCTCTGCTTCGTGGCTCCTGGTTCTCCCTGCATAAATATTTTGGGTGGGACTCTTCCCCTAATCCCCTGAACCTCAACCCCTCAATCCTAATCCTACGACCTGAAACTCCTAAACCCTAAACAGCTCAATCCCCAGGAGCCCTCACAGGCCAACCAAAAACTCCGAGGGCCGAGCAGATTGCTGGAGCCTGACAGGCTTGCGCCAATCCGAAACTGGTGGTGCAAAGGTAAATGGAGGTTCAATGTTTGGGGGTTCAACAGCAAAACAGAACAAGGAAGTTGGTGCGTGAGGTGAAGACCCTTCCTTTGCATTTAGTCATCACAGCCTCGGCTCACTGAGCGGGCTTGACAGTGGAGGGTAGCAGCGCCAACCTCGCAGGCAGAACATGTAAAGCAACAGGGTGCGATGGCAAGCAATTGTCGGCATCTAGCATGCTGAATCACCCTATGGTGCTCTTCGCTGAGGGATTGAATGGAGCCTGGAATCTGAAATAGGTGTGACCACGACGACATGCATGCACAAATTAGGGCACCCTAAGCCCCAAACCTCCACTCCAAATCTCCATCAAAACTCCTCCTTGCAATCTCGCCAGGTTTACCGCCACCCCTGCAAGGTTTGTGCGCCAGGAAGCCTTCCTGGAAGGAAGAAGATCATCTGCAAACTGCTGGTGCCTAGTAAATAGGAAAATCTAGGGTCTTAGTCCTCTGGTTCATGATTCCCGACTAAGGAGCAGAAACTTGAGTTGGACACATGCCCATGCAGAAAGGCTGTGATGAACCCGCCATGGGATCGTTGTGGTTTTTTGTGGCACAGAACTCACTTTGCACAGTTTGTGCCACGTGGAGGATATCTGATCGACACATCTGCAGGTGGGTGCTTTACTGTCGAACCCCAGCACATCATGATTTCTTGCATTTTGCTTCTCTCCCATCAATCGTTGTCAAAGCGCAATATCATGCTAAGCAAATTCTGAGCACTGTGCGCAGCACCGGGGCTTCGGTGACCGCGGAAGCCTGAAACAACAGCGTGCTCAAGATTCTGGGCCTGACGCTGCAGCTGCTGATATGTGAGCTATTGAGGCTGTCAAGACTTCCACATCTGCTGCAAATGATGGACAAGATTACTCGCCAAAAGCACTGCACCTGCCGCGGTTGACGATTCGGGTCTCCAATACCTGCTCGTGCAGTTGCTTTGGCACTCTCGCACTTTAAATGCGCTGAAAAAACTCATGCAAAGAATCGCGCCGTGGCAAGCTGGCGTCGGGGAAACAAGGCTGCACGAAAGCCATGAGCTCTAGCACTCCGGATGCTGGTAGCAAGAGTTGCCTGCATTCATGACACTAACTAAGCGCCGATAGGGCTGCTCTCTGACAAAATGACCCTACCGGACTTACTGAACAGCCAAACAGAGGGCCGCTTGCCCTCATTTGCGGCACCGCGATGGTTTCTGCCATCCTGACCTCTCAGAATTGTGTCAGTCTACGCAGCTAACCTACCAAGGTTGCCCGCGTTTGTTCTGCAGCCGGTAGAATGCGTTTGCAACTGTTGGCAAAATGCTGGCTACACTTCTGCCATGCAATTCACTAGCCGCACAGGCCTGAGGCTCACGGCAGGCATGCATGCTGGAGGGCAAAAACAACTTGGCGGGGCAGGGGGGCGAGGGTCCATGTGTTGTGCCAACACTTGCAAAAAGCGGGTGGAATGGCCATTTATGAGATCTTCTGAGGTTCCTTCGCGTTGCTTTTTCTTATGGTGAGACGTGCCAGGCGCGGGACTTCAGCTCACCCCTTTGGCATCCTGGACTCTAAGATTCGTCTTCCCCACTTAGCTCGCAATGCTCCAGCGATAAATTTCTAGCTACGGGGTACTTCACTGCCAGCTCTGTACGTCGGTCCTTTGTAACTACATCGGGACCGAACCCTGCCCATGGATGCAGAGTTCTCAGCCGCCATGGTGGCCTGCCAGAGCGTGCAGCTTCACCATCAAAAATCCACCAAGGCCCACGGCACGGGTCTGTTTGCGATGTCTCAGAAATTGTTTTTGATTTGTTGACCGGCTTGATCGAGCTGCGCCCAAAACTGAAAGCCGAGTTGGGCTAGACATTATTTCCAAGCCCTGGGCAAGTGATCTGAAAAAGCCGAGAAGTCTCTAGATTTTGGAAGTCTACATCCCATTCCCTCTGAACCCTCTTTGCGCACTCACCCCTTGAATGCGGCCTGCCAAACCTGTGGACAGCATCGGCAGCTTTGTTTGCGGCGGCGGCAGATCTGTTGGGGGTTCCAGCCTTAACACCGCTCCGCTGCTAAATGCTACTGTATGGGGAAAAACGCAAAACAAAGCATCAAGTGGGCAGTGAGTTTCGTAAATCCTTCGAAGTCCAGCCTGTGCCGCATACACTGCTTTATTCAATGCTAGGCAGCTCCTGCTTGTATCAACTCTGCATGGCGACATGTGCCGCTCTTACGCTGTACAGTGTAAGCCTCTGGCGATCGTGGCGAGGGGTGCGGAAGAACCGACTTCGGATCCCTAGCAATGCGTGGAAAGCTTGGTTGCTAACCTTGCTAACGCTGAATCAGAGTTTGCTCCTCCCATTGCTGCAACCTGCTGCAAAAACGCTGCTGCCGACGTCAGAACTTTACTGCTGGTCTAGGCCTGCCATGCAGGCAACCTTGAAGGATGTTGGTGACTTTGTCGTCCACGGAGGGCGTGTAGTTCCACCTGCACCAGCTGGCATACGCCATATGCACACGGATGCCTACCTGAATCTCTCCACTCCTACGTAGATGAGATACACTATGTACGAAGAATCGGCATGTCTAACCGATACACTATGTATGCAAAATTACAGATGTATATATACATATACATATATACATATATACATATATACATATATACATATATACATATATACATATATACATATATACATATATACATATATACATATATACATATATACATATATGTATATACATATATACATATATACACATGTATACACATATATACATATATATACATATATACATATATACATATATACATATATACATATATACATATATACATATATACATATATACATATATACATATATACATATATACATATATATATATATGCATGTAAATTCATAGTGACCAGTTCCCCCCCCCCCCCCCCTCGCCCGGGAGAACCAGGTCTTAGAAATGGCCACTCACGTTTGTGGGGGTCGGTGGTCTAAAGTTCTAAAGAATGGTCGCTGCATGTGCGGGATCCCGCTTCAACCATGGGCTCCAAGATCTAAACATTCCCGATAAGACTTTGCCCGGGAATGTTGGGGCCGGGCTCTCAGATGCAGGGCCCGTTTCAACTCGAAACGGGCCCAAAATCTAAGAGCCTGAGGTTTTCAGGAAAAGTGATCGTAGATCCAGGCCCTGTGTCAATTTGAAATGGACCACTTTATGTACGGTTTAAAGACTCTAGACACTCGAGGCTAATTACTGCATTTGCCTGACCTAAGCTAAAAGACTTAAATGATTGCTCAAAGTCCCAAGGACTCCCAAAGGATTTCGGAGACAGCACAGGCGATTAAAGGTTGTCTAACAAGTTAGCTTTCTTTGTGTCAAATTATATGTTTTCCCAAACTCCGGAGCCGGCATAGGTTTCTAAAGATCTTCAAGATGTTAAGGTTTTCTCTATGTTGCACGAAGTGCATGCCCAAAAGCCCTCGGGGTTCCGGAGCCCGCTGCCTTTCATAAACACATGTTGAGGACGTGTTCCAAGCCGTGACATCAACCACATGGAAATCGAGGGCTGTATTCCATCTTGTGGATTCGAGCGAGTATTCAAAGGGTGGCTGCACTTCCAGGGCACCAAAGCCCATCAAATTGAATTCAGACGTTTTGTCGCTTTGAAGGAGGTTCGCCATATCTTGCGTTGCTTTACTGTAATGGGTGCCTCTTGCATTTCACCAAATGATAAGCCCAGCAAGCCTCTAAATTAAACTGTAAATCGATGGCTTCATCTCCATTGAAGGCCGTTGAAGGCTTTCGGCGAAAGAGTTGGCCATTAACCAATGGAAATCCAGGCCTGACTTCCATGCCTAGAAGCCTTAAGCGTTCAGGGGTTTTGTAAACATAAGTGAAGTCAGGAATTCTTCAGGTCGTTGAGCACCCTGGAGCACCCTACAAGGTGTTGTTGATCAGGCTGGAGCTTTAAAGAGTTTACAGGCTTTCAGGGACCACACCTCCTTTTGTAGTACACTGCTGTGTGCGTTTCAGCTGAAGATGCTTATCTGTCAGCGTTTTACTACACAAGCCCGGGGTCCTGAAGGGAGGGGGCAGCACATCTATCTACGCATGAAAAGTCAGCATGTGCATGTAGGCATGCCAGTTTCTAGTGGAAAGCTGCATCATGAGGTAAGGGGCCGAAACACACGCGCGAGAGTTCAGTTCGCAAAGCCATCCCTACACATTAAGGCCCGTATAGCAGGGAGGGATGCGTGCAACAACAAACATCCGATACCCAGACTCTATCGGTCTGGGATGTACGCGGGCAAAGCCCTGGGCCTTGACTTGAAGTGGTGGCCCAGCACCCACGCTGTCTGCTCCAAGCTGACCTGCGTGGCACGCAAGTGGCCCCACTTCCCCGAAGCACGCATTTGTTTTTCTTCAAACTTCGGACACGGGCCTTGTCGCAGACCGATTTGCGGTCGCTCTGTCCATGCCTGGGTGTGCTGAAAGCCAACCCGGAAACATCCCTCAATAAACCGCGACGAGCAACATCCCCAAGATTGTTTTCACAACTGAACTCTCGCAGCAAAGCACCGTGCACCTGAGGACTAATTACAATGCATCCATACTGAAAGCAACTTGGTCCCCGAAACCTGAACAACACTGAAAACCCCACACCCTTGACCCTCCAATCTAAGGCGATTTCCAAAGCTGCGCAGTCCGCTCCAGCGCAGTGACTGGGCCTTCGGTGAACTCCTCCAAGCGCCTGGGTATACCGGGCTTTGGGCAATACGGTGCTCGCAAGGGATTGCTGTGGAACGTGGCGTGTCGGACTCTGATGAGGTTTGTGGGAAGTTTTTTAGGGCTTACGGAGGGTTACGAGCTTCTATAGGATTTACGAGCTGATAAGGCGGGCGTTACAGGGAACAAATTTGGTTTTGCGTCAGGGGTGTCGCGATCCTCGAGAGCTTGGGCTGACAGGGTGCTGACGTTGCCAGCGGCTTGCCGATTCTCGAGCAATCTACTCTTGCAGGTGGAGTGTTGTTTCGCATTGTAAGACCTTGCACGGGTGATCGTATCCAACAGTGGATGATAGAAGAACCCTGAGCCCGAGGATGCTCTAAGCCAAACGGATGCCCTTCCCTCCAGCCTGCGAGTTGCTTCTTCTCGCAGCTCTACACGCCGGACCATGCAGGTGCAGTCTTCCTCCCTGGCGCGTCAGTGCGGCTCCGATATCATGGGCACCACGGGTGGATGTGTCATCGGTATTCTTCTCTGCGTGCGGTGACGCTTTCAGCGAATGTGCACTCCTACGCTACAAAAGTTCTTGCTCGTGGTGGCAAGGTTTCGCTCAAGGTTGAACCACAGCTCAAGCACGTGATACGTGTATACGATATTAGTGTATATTGGTGTGTTGTATCGGGTGGTTTGGTGAGGTGTGGCGGCGCGGGGAGCACATGCAGTGCAGTCCGGGCTTTCGGGAGGAATATGGCACAACTATTCCGGGAGCTACCTAGTGAAAGCGCAGACACTTTAGGAGCCCAAGGTTTCGGTTCTCTGCAGAACACGATTATGATACGACACCTTCCACAGGTCTGAATAAGATTCTCGCGCACATTACTTTGCAGCGCCAACAAGTAACAAGCACGTAGCAAATGAGGGCCAAGCATCACTGTGGTGTGTACGCCAGCCGTTTGACCTTGCGTGTTGGAAGGGCTGAAGTTCTTGGAGTTCAAGAGCCACGCATGGCACCGCTGAGTGCCCCAAGGTCCAGGCGCTCTTTCTGCAATCGTTCTCGGGCATCGTGCCGGCGGGTTTCTGTTGCCTCCTGCATGCGTGTTCTGGTTTACCTTTGCAATCCTTTGCGGCCCTTTGCATACCTTTGTTACCATGACTTCCCCCAGCATGGTCCAGGCATATACAGCCAAGCTAACTTGTGTGCGAGAGGTCAGTCCTTGGCGGCAGCTGTTCTCCTGGACTCCATCGGCAAGCGCTGGGAAACAGCCTGTCACTTCGGCGCATGGCCAAAAGAGCTACTGTATTCTGCTCAGACCCGCCCTGTTCGCGACATGCCTACTTGGGACAGACTTAAGTAGAACCGTGTTTGAATGTGGAACGGACGAGACCATGCAACTCAGGCACCTCTTTGATTTCAGCAGCTTGCGCACGCAAAGCTTCCAGCTGCGCCTCACATTGCTCCTGGGCGGCAATGCGAAGAGGACGTCGATTCGAGACGGGCGTAGGCATTCTGTGTATTTCTGGGGTTTGGTGTTGTTTCTCGGATTCTCAGATTGACAAAAAAAGCACAGCAAATGCATATGTTTCACGATCATTCAAGAATAGTGCTGACGTATACGCCCGCACAAAAATGACACTTGCCGATCGCTAGCTCGCGCGCCTTCACGTCCTGCAGGTACTCGGCGGCTTTCTGCTTCGCTTCCTCCTCCTGTCGCGAAACGATGCCTACCTGATTGTTTCCACCGAAGCCCCTGTGCTTAACCTCCCAGTCCGAGGACCTTTGCCGCTGTCCAGAACGTTAGGGGTCCAAGAATAGTTACACAATAGCAGTGGTGTACAAGCGTGGCATAGATTGTACAAGCATGGCATAGACTGCAAGTACATACATCTGATCTTGTCCAGACAACTGTTTCTTTCATCTATATTTGTGTTTCAGAAAGGTTCCTGACACATCCACTCAAGAGGTTCAGGCGCCTGGGCAGCCACGGCCAGCTCGGCCTCCGCCAGGGCTTGGGCACGAGCTGCAAGTCGTGCTTGGGACTCTTCCTGAAAAAAACAAACAGGCAGTAATGCTGTACTGAGTTGCAAGTAAGTAGTGTTCAACTGTTCAGGGTTTGGGGGTGCAACTTCGAAGTGAAGTGGCAAAGTCCATCGAATGAGCTCTTCATCAATGTATATCTTTCCGTCTTTCTTGCTTCATACGGCTGCTTCAACACTGGAAGCTTGAAAGAACCCTTTCCTGCTGCAGGCGCTCGGACTTACGACGCTTGCCGACAATCAAAAGTCACGCACAAAATCGTGAACAGCACGTGCCCAATGGACCTTCAACTTTTGGTATCGTTCTTCCGCCGCTTGGCTCCTCTCACCTGGGAGAGCAATTCTGACAATTTTGCTTCATGGCAAAAGCGTCAGGCACAGCTGCTGGACAAACTTTGCTCCGAGTCGGCCGCAGGCAGTATTCAGCAATTGGGCGGCCGATACCACATGGGCCTTCCAACAGCAAAGGTTTGCAAAGCAAGATGCAAAAGCATGCACAATCACAATCACGACACATGGACGTGCAAAATGGTCAGCTACGACCCTGCGTGCCTCCTCCGCCAACTTCAGCCCCTGGGCTTCTTCCAATCGCCTTAGCACAACGTGTTGTGTCGCGCAAAACATCTGCAAAGCTAAGCAACTGTGCGCACGGCTTTCGTGCTTCCCGCTGTGCCTCTTCGAGCATGATGTCTGCCTGCCGCACCTTGATGCTGCCACAAGATTCAAGAACCTTCAGAAGTTAACACTGACACTACGCTCTTGGCATGTTTTCTGGTGTTTCACTGAGCACTGCCCCTCTACCCTCCCCCTTCCATGTTTACTGACTTGGATGCGGTATTCACCGCACGCATGCTCGTCGACTAAGGCTCCAGGCGTGAACTTCTAATGCCTCTTGTCAGCAAATCGCATGCTGCAAGGATATTCGCCCACACAAATAAAAATGCATGATAAACATGAATGAGTCTTTCGCTTAATCCGGTGAACATAAACTGGTGCCTGCATGTCTGCATCCCGACGGCTTCGCATCTCCTCCACCGATCGTTCCGCATCTGCGATCTGCCAGGCAAAGAAAACTTGAGTCTTTGAGTTGCTGTTCAACAGCCGGTCGTTGCACAACATGATCATCAGCACTCTGCCTGCCACTGGACATCTTGGGCAGCCTATGCGACACGAGGTCATTTTTGCGCCGCCCTGCCCCCCCCCCCCCCCCCCCCCCCCCCCGGCGCCCGCCTAAAGAAATGGTCTACAAAGGGCACTTTTGAACTTGTCGCTATGCACGGATTGCACGAGGCCCTCGCATGGTCGGCTTCGTGCTTTGCTTTGTTGGTTCGCTCACGCTGGAGCTGAAGCTTGCGCCTTGCTGCCATGTGCGTCTAGTCATTGCACTACCTTGCTACTTGTACAAGTTTGCGCATGGCAGTGCAGCTCCATATAGCTCCATGCAATGCGGAGGACCTGCCTCTCCACCTCCAACGCATCCTGTGCAAGTTGCAAGCTTGTCCAACATACTTTGCGGATTGCAGCTATTGAGGCTTGGGAGGAGTCGGGAGGTGCAGCTCCTGTTGACGACTTCTGGCAAACTTGTACTTGCCATGCTCGTCCTGCACCGCACGTTAAGGAGCCGCACATGGACAAGCTATGACAAGCGATTGTGGGCCTCAAACCGTTGATACTTCTCCAGCATGCCGTCAGGGGACTGGTGCTCCTGGAGTGGCAACAGCCCAAAAGGAGCCAGTTGGGGTGAGGGCTCGCAATTTTAGTCCAAGCACCATGACGTCAAGCCGGGTGTTGCTCTGCAGCGCAGTGACCTCAGAATTTGCAGGCTTGTGTTTTAGGCTAGCTGGGACCTGGAGGATGAAAAAAACAGCCTTTGCTTGCGGCTGGAAACGGCTGCTTCAGCCCAGGCAGAGGGGCCTTGCCTTCGTCCGGCAGATCTTTGCAATTCTCCTTCGTTTGTGTGCTCATATATAAGCATGCGTCTCTTGGGAAACGCATTGAAACTGCGACATTGGCAGGTTCGCGTGCAAATCATAAATCTCCAATATCCCTGCAAGGTCCTTACAGGAGTCACATCGGACCACGTCTGGGAAGACCTCGGCCACAGTCAGCAGACCATCTTCAGCGGCTAGCTTAGCTGTAATTTAACCATGCTTCACGAGCAAGATGTGGCAGCTGCAGTCTGGAAAACGAGATTCGAACCAAGACCGACACAATACGGACTGAAGTAAGGCTGGAACCAAATGAAGGGGACACTGCGCCGGGAGTTTCTCGACCGGGCTGTCGTCCTGACCTGCTTGAGCCGGCCGTTGGTGACTTGTTCGGCTCTGGGTTTCTAACTCAAGTCACCAATTCCAAAGCATGCCTATCTCCTCCAATTCTCGGCAGGGTGCTCGCATCGCTCTGTCTCTTTGTGGTTGGATAAACCACGTGACTGATGAAACTACCACGTATACCTGATGTCCAACATTGTCCAACGGTAATGCAGTCCAGAGAGAGAGTCAGAGAGTAGAACACGTTTCACGCTGATCACTGCGGCTGCTTCAGTTTAGGTGCACTTTCGTGTGTTGTTGCTTCGGTTGTTGTAGGGATTGGGAATTCCTTCAAATGCTTGTCGCACTTCCGGCAGTAATGAGAAGTGCTGCTGCTCCAAAGACTGAGCTTTCGGACGGCGTGCTCTAACAGAAAAGCCCCACAAGTCCTCGACATCACTGAGGTAAGTTTGGGGCAGGGACAATAGCTATAAGCAGCTCTTGCATCATCTACATCTTCAGACAGGCTTTGCACACATGTGTGCAAAACGCCTGGCGCTGCTTTGCTTGAGAAATAACAGGCATTAAAAGGCCTCCATGGGGAGAGTCCATGTCTTGATGCCGACCGCCTGCGCTGTGATACTCATTGCATCCGTTCTTGCAGTCTGTGCAAAGCGCAGCTGGGCCTTTAGAGCGGCAGCTGCCAAGGCACTACGAGGTCTATGAATGCACCACCATTGATGCCACCAAACATCTTCCCTTGTCAGTCTCTCCTCGTACTAGAAAAGTGGGCCTAGCGCCAAACCACGATCCCTGCACCTGTCATGACTTCACTGCTTCTGCCGGCTGGCCCTTTGGGCTTGAGCCTGCACACACACACAGAGACACCTTTATCACTCGTTGTATTGCTTTGACCACTGCATTCTCCACACAAAGCAGCACGCATGCTGACAAATTGCATTGCTGCTCCGTCTGGTGGCGTACACGCCTTCGCAGCGCCTAAACCCAGACATGTCAGCATCCAGGTGGTTTTTATCTCACACAGCTCGCGGAGGGTCGGTCGTGGAGCCGAGCACAGCTTTCATGTTCGCTTCCTGGGTGCAAGATCTAGACGAGTTGCCTGCGCTAAGCTGTTGGGGAAGGTTAGAGTATAGCCAACCAAATGGCAAGGCCAATTCAAACAAGATGCAAATACACAGTCTCGATACCCTCTAACTGCATCTTCGTCTCAGGGCTCCATCGCGCAATTGCGAGAAGCGCTCCCGCATCGAGCCCACAAGCGAGCTTGAAGGGGCCTGGTTCGGGCTTGTCGTTGATTTGAATTATGCTTGGACTTACGTGGCGTTGTCGGCTTCAACTGGGCACCGGCTCTGTACCTACCCAATCCTCAAAACGTCCATCCATCCTCTGCAGGTGTTGCTGCAGGTGCCGAGGTCGGGGTGTCGAAGAGATGCGGGGACACCTGGGAAGCGGATGTCTGCTTGCAAACTGTAGACTTGTTGCTAGAACCCTTAAATGGACTACCCGAATATAATCCGAGAGTATGCAGGCAACTTAACTTGCTGAGCACAGTGCAAGCCAGATTTCTGGTTTTATAGCATAGGCCTCATCCTACCTCTCGCCAAGAAGCTCCCGATCGCTCCAGGCCACGCACCTGCTTTCAGGTCTGACCGAAGTCGGCCCGATAATCCGATTACACCCAATAAATTGCCCATAAACCAAAACAACTTGCTGGGGACGTGCCTACTTCTGAGGGCGGCTTGACGTCGTGTGAAGTGTGGCCGGACCTTGTCTGCCAGCTGCTCCCTCTCTGAGGCATAGGACTCCTGGCTCTACGGCTTAGAAGGCATCCTAGAGTACCTACGTTCCAGGATTGGGGACATGGGTCTATTCATATTACGGCCGGATTAAAATTAGTTCCTGATAGTCCGCCGAGGCCTTAGGCCCAGGTGTCTGGGTAGCACAAAGCAGGCACCCCACCTCTAATCCCCTCCCCTTTCTTTTTTTGGCCTGAATGGGTAGCCCCCCCTTGCCGACAAGTGTCCGGGAGCAGACGGCCTAGCCTGGAGGGGCCTTGCCTGGAGAACCCTTGCCTCTGCCTTTTCCCGCCCCTCCCCACCTGCCCAGCCCTGGTTTGCGTTGCCTTGTTACAGAAGCTCAGGCCGAGGCGTGTCGCGTAGTGTTAAAATTACTGCTTCTGTGCCGTCGAAGCGGTTGTGGCAACTCCTGACGGTCCACAAGCTTCTTCTGCAGCAGCAAGACTCGCATCACCTCTGTGAACGGCGTGTCGCAGTGCTTCCGACCAGTCTACTCGTTCTAAGCTTCCCTGTTTTTGGCTACTTTTTGATTCCTTGCCGTTGACTCAAAAACAGTTGAAGTAGACAGTAGAAGGGGAGTCCCTTCAGAGACCTGTTATGATTGCGGACACAACCCAAATGTCAACGCACATGGTTCGACGAAGTGCCTGGCGTTGGAAAAATTGTCTCCAGTTTCCTGACCCTGCTTTGTTAAAGGCCGCCGGCCGCGTCAGCATCGCTGTCGTCGTGAGTGAACTCCGTGGGAGTCTCATCGCTTAGAAGCATCTCGCCCAAGGCTGCATTCATGTCCTCGAGTGAGTGAGATGTTTCGAGGAGAGGAGGCAGAGGAGCAACCCAACAGATTTGCAAAGGTCTTCGCCTTCGACTCAAAAGGCACCAGCGCCGAACCCTACACCCTCATTCCTGGATTGAATGTAGATTCTATGGTGTCTCGATCCACATCCACCTGCAGTCTTGTCCGAGTGACGAACCTCCCCACACTCACAGACAGTCGGTGCTGACGTCGGCTAGACTGCAGCTTTCGCGAAAAACACTCAGACTCACAGACACCGTCAACAAAAAGCTGCGGGAGAACGTGACAAGGGTCCCGCAGTCGATGGCTTTCATCGGCCACACACCGGCAAGCAGCCTCAGGACAACCCAACAAAGACCGGGGCAACCTCAGCACACTCTTTGGCATTTCAGGTACGAGTAGTCCAAAGGTCTTTCAATTGTGGTGAGACATCTGAGACGCCACTTTCTCAGATCGACTGCTTTAGCTCAAGGCCCAGCCTGCAGGTGGGTGTGGCGGCCCCTTATGGATGCCTGGCGTGCCTCGCGAGCAAGGAGACCGTCCAGCTTACCTTGCATGTCGGCGCAGTCCTGTGGCGTCAACACACCCCGGCATGCCCCAAGACAGGAAGCTTGAGCAGGCTTCAAACAACTTCTGGGCTGAGGCAGGGTAATTCGGCTTTTTTCCTTGGTTGGTAAGCGGCAATTCAAGTGATGGCACAAGCATCCCCAGGCTAGCAGCTCGCGAGTGCTTGGCGACTTAGCCGCTTGATCCCACTTCCTCTCCTAGCTTAACGAACAAGCTACCTTCCTTCTGCGAATCCGAGCAGGGGCTCAGAGTCCTGGATGAGCTTGATCCTGTCTGCATCAGTGACGCGTCTGGCGCTTTCCAGGCCTGTGAGCTGCTTGATGTAGCCCTCGCTTTGGGAGGCCATTGTCTCACGCATTGCCTTGCCAGCATCGCCCAAGTCCACCCGAGTTGACTGCAAAGCCGCTTTCTCTTCCGAGACCTCACGCAGACGTTGCTGAAGATTGTTCTGTTTCCGCTCCAGGCGCTCCACCAGCTGCGTCTGTGCGGAAGCTGCGTGCTGGGTGCTTGCAAGCCACTGCAATGCTTGCTCCACCTCCTCCAGGTCTTGCATATCCTCAGAGCCCGCTAGGCCCGCGACACGATCTGCCACCCAGGAGTCAGCCAATTTGAGCCGCAAATGTGAGACCTCCTCCTGTGCCTTCCGGAGCTCCTCCTCAGCCTCGCCCCTCTGCTCCTCCGCCCTCGCCTGTACCTCTGCGGACACCAAGGACCGAGCCTGGATCTCTGCAGCTTGGATGCGGCTCTCAGCTGCGCCCCGCTGTTCTTGCAAGGGCTTCTGCGCCTGAAGCGACCAGGTAGGACAGGTGGGATTGGCAAGTGCATGGAGGGTATATGACCTGCATGCTGGGTACAGTTGTGCTTGCTCAGAAGCTGACACTAAACTTTCGTCTACTAGTTGCTGTCGTGCACGTTCTCGTTGTTGAAAACTCGAAAAAATCATCAACATGATTTAAAACGACTTAGACTTAAACATGACTGTAAAAAGTGCAGCGTCTGAGTCCCCAGGCCGGCCTCAAGCAGTCCTTGACGTGCACGATTCCGGTCAATCTCCAGCGCGCGGCAAGCCTCCCTCGCCTCACACACGGCGTCTTTTGTTTGTGTGTTTCGCATGAGTGCTTCGCATGCTTCGCGTGTGTGCTTCGCATGTGTGCTTCGTCTGTGCGCTTCGCATGTGCGCTTCGCATGTGCGCTTCGCATGTGCGCTTCGCATGTGCGCTTCGCATGTGCTTTGCTGGTAGGTTTCACGGCGTTTTCAAGCTTCTGGGATCCGCTTACCCTCAGTGCCCCTCCTTCCGGACATTCGCTTAAAGGCTTAGAAGGCTTCCGACCACCTTGACTGCCTAGCCAGGAAAAGCATGAAGTATCATGCAAGTAAGAGCGATGTGCAGGAATCGGTAGGTTACCGTCGAATTCTCCATGTGAGCGTGTCGTTGAGTCACTTTGGCTATCCTGAAACAACATGCAAGTGAGCAGATCGTCAAGCCAAGTGCTGCTGCATCTTTGGAAAACCCTGCGCTGCATGTCCCGTGCACCTGGAGATGCATCCGCTGCCTTGATAGCTCTGCAGGCGTTCGAAACTTTCCGCAATTTAAGCGTATGTCGACTCAAGGGGTTGACGCTATACTGGGTTGAAGTCCGGGCAAAGTGGCACGAACCGAAACTACATGTGACAAACATCATGAGAGCTACGACACCCGTCGGTTTGGGGTTTTACTCATTCACGCTATCGCACGGCCGTCCTTTGCCACCCTCGACAGCGATGGCACAAACTGCGCGCTTAGCTTAGGGATACGAACGATTCTGCCAAACAATTGAGGGACAGGGTAGACCCAAACCATCCCCCCCTACCTCTTTCTTGTGTTTCCCAGTCCGAGCCACTCCCGCACCAGGGAAGCCTTCCGCGGACCCAGGGCTTCAAGGGCTTCGTGAAGCTCCTCAGGGCCAGGAGGCGGAATAATCGTTTGAATATCCTGGTTGCCTTTTTGTGGCTCAACCCCCTACGTTTTTCATCTCCTGGGTTTGTGTATGCAGGGCTCATGGCTTGTGACGCCGGAAGGCTTTCAAAAGCCCTGGTGGCCTCAAACTCCTGCTCCAGCACAACGCAGGAGGCCACGACGGGGTTGTTCTCAATGACCTGCTTGCCAATGACATCATTGGCAGTGTCGCTCCGAAAACACATGCATCCACAACGCGGCACGCCTTGAAGTGCAGACTTTGAGAATACATCCGTAGGGACATTTCCGTGCGAGTACCAAGCCATCATATGCGGGTGTCGACGCCCCAACCTCCGCTCGAAGACGACGGCACTCATCACAGAGCTCGTCCTCAGCCAGGCTAGCTGAACCCTCATTTCTTGTAGAATCGTCTTCAGCCGCAAGATCACAATGGCTTCGTGATTGGTGTCGCATCACATCTGCTGCTGGTCTATGCAGTGCTTCTCGGAGTGCTTCTCTGAATTCCTCAGGTGAGCCGAAGCCTCAAGTCTTTGCCGCAAGGATGTCTGGGCTTGTCGAAGTGCCTGATGGCAGGGAAATTGCCTCCCCCCTCGTAACTTTAAATGTTGCCCCTTTATAGTGTTAATGTCTCTATAAGCCGGACACTCACCTCAACGCATGACACAGCACTGACTGACGTGCAAGCCTGCATGGGACACTTGCCGTTCGTATGATCGTGCAAAGTTGCGCAAGCATCCGCATGCCAGCGAGTTGTTGCTCTTGGGCCGCCTGCAGTACTCTTTCGGAGCGAAGGAGTTCCTGCTGCTCTGTCTCCTGGGAGACTGGCAAGGATTCCGCTTTGACCCACGTTGAGCTTGAGGGCCTTAAACCTTGAGGAATACGTAGTCGGGATAGTGTTCTATGCACGGCGGGGGGCATCTTGACATGTCGTGACTCACTGTTGTGCATCAGTGTAGACATCTGCCGCAAGGTTTTTTGCATCTACATCCTGCAACATCTTGCGACATACCAGGCCCTGAGACATTCCCAGACTTCAGGTGCAGCTCACGGCTCCCAAGCATGCCGCAATGCCGCCAGCTCATCAGCCATGCTCCATCAGCCGGGCAGGAGGCTCGTGGCCTGAAGTTTTGGCCAACAATATCCGCACTGTCGTGCAGTGTCGTGCACTGCCGTGTAGTCTGTGGAGCGTAAGTGCGTAGCTTGCTCATTCATGTGGCAAATCGCTGCGTCGACAATGAAGTTCAGAGCTGCTTGACTGCGTGATACTGCGTGTAAGTTGCCTTTGCATGCACTTGGCATGTTTCTGTCCTAAAGCCGACGTCCACGTCGCACTGTTGCACACGGACGCTACATCAGGAAGCATACCTCCACTCTCACTGGCCAATCTTGGCAGCATTGCTTCGGTCTGTTTTTGTCATCGTGGCGTCTGACACTCGCAAGCAGCTTTCAGGGCTTCTGCCACAAGCTGATGTCTCACAGCTTCGCAGCAGCCGCCGTAGCGGGGGTATCCCCACCTCATAGGACTCCGCTGAGACCATGGTTGGCTGGCCTAACCTATAACTTGTAATTGCAGGATCTTTTGGGGGACGCTTTCATGTAATAGAGCAACCCCGAGCAACTCCCATGTGCACGCTACACATCCTGAGGTCGGGGCGTAACGAGCGAGCCATCAGTGCGAACGGCGGCGAAGGCGCACTCTGCCGCGTAGACACGCGCAACGCCTGTTACGGGGCGGAATCTGCACGTGTGCCAACATTAAATTGGAAACAGTGAGACCTTCTACAATGCAAAATGTTGGCCAGCACCCTGGAAAGGTGTCGATTGATGCATTCAAGGTCGAGCGTGAAGTATGCACTCACACTTTTGTCGGCATGTGCCCCAACATGAAGAAAACAGGTCCCAGACCGTCGCCCACAAACTCGGTGAGATATGTGCATAGCCTCCCCCGGAAACAGGTCCTTGATCCGCCGATCCCCCGCGCCAGCGGGCGGCGCCAGTGTCGACACATTTCTGTTCCCTGACCCCCACCTCTCTACCCCCAAACCCCCCCCCCCCTCCCCGCTTCAGACCTACATTTACAGGGAGGCTGAAGCAGATTTAAAGGGCTCCAGCGCCCTGACCTCCCTACCCCTGCCCAACCCTGGCCTTTGGCAGTAGCCATTCAATATCATTCAATAGTATGTGTACTCAGGGTAATCAATATGCTACAAAAACAATCACAGAACAATTGTTTTCGGCCTCCTTGAAGTTGATGTTCCACGCGGCTGCTGTTGCCTCCGTACATGGGGCTGCCCCAGGCGACCACCTGAGCAGCACAGTCCTATACTGCTTCGGAGCGAGAGCATGGCTTATGCATTTCGTTTGCGACACTTTCCGGAATGAGTAGTCGGCCGAACCGTCTGAACGAAGTGCAGCAAACGCAGCCTTCGTAGAAAAGATCTCCTGCCAGGGAATAAGGACATATGCGGAGTGCAGATTTGCTGCGTGCCGGATGATTCATGATGCGAGCAGGCCATGCCAGCATTGTTGACTCCTCTTCAAGGCAGGCATGCTACAGTATGTAATATCTGGGCAAAGGCGCCGTGCACTGATGGAATGGCAGAGATGGGCAGCATGTACGTGCTTGAATATATATATATATATATATATATGTGTGTGTGTCTCTCAGTGGGCCTGCCTGCACGTCGTACAGAAGATGTTGGACTGCGTCACCTAGATCAGCTAGATCTTGCTTTTCATAGGTTCGAGCAAACCACGACCACGCTTCTCAGCATGCTGGATGCAAGAGACCGTGTCTGCAGCCAATATTCACAGCATTCAGCACGGGCACTGTTTCCGCCCGAAGCTGGATCCCCCCAGGTTGCAACCTCAGCAAGTCAGCACGAACTGTGATGGCTTGTCGCGCTGTTTGGCGACTGCATATTAACTTGCGAACAGGTTCTACGAGGTTGCGGTCGGTTTATTGAAGAACACAGACGGCAGCTTGCAGCAAATAGCAACATGCGTCCAAACACCCGCGATGGCCCGAGCTAGTAGCATGCATACGTTTCTTCAGCGACGATGTCTTCGCCAAGGAAAGAGCCGTCCCATCCACCCGCACGGCGGCAAAGGCGTCGTGAGTTGCAAACAATCGGGAGATGGCAGTATGCTGCTCCAGGTCGGAACCTGACAGTGCCAAGCTGGGTGACTTCAGGCGAATACTACACATGCCAGCTTTCTTCAGGTGCTTTCAATCAATCGCCGTGGAGAAGCAGCATCCGCCGGCAAGTTCATTGCCCCATGTCCTTGAATGCCAGTGCTCCAGCTTCTGAACCCTCTGTGTTTGCAGCTGAGCGATCCCCTTCTTGAAACGGCATGTGTGCACATTCCAATCAGTAAGATACTGCTTCAGTGAAGCGTGAAATAGCTCAAGCCATGCAGTGGACATTTTCGCAACAAGCTCGCTGCACGTTCGCAAATGGCTAGGGCAGCTAGGGGTCTGTCTGCAACAGGACAACCTTTACGAGTAGCTGGCTGAACTTCAACTTCGGAGAAGATAACTAGAAGCTTCGAGCTTTCGGCGGACTGAACTCGCCATCTGTGTTGAGGGGAGAGAAATATTCCCTGCATCTCCCTGCCTCACTCACCCTCACTCTGTCACGCGGAGACAAAGCAGGACCGTGAGAATCAGCCGTTATTCGCCTGCGAGGACTTTGGAAGTGCTGATACCGGCGGCATAGATACCGGGGCATACCATGCTCGGAGCACAACACATAAACACATGGCACTGCCACGGCCTCAACTGCCCTCGCGGCTTTGGCGCGCAGGTTGACGTCCAACGTGCCTTGTAGCTTTCAGTTGTTCATTCACATGGCGTCACCCAGTGACTTTCTTAGATGCAGCCGATAATGGGATGTATCACAAGCTGTCAAGGCACTGGAAGACACTCCTCCAGTCTGGGCATAGCAGCTGGCAGCAATGACCTCATGCGCTTCCAGAAGCACGGGACACAGGTTGACTGTTCCGAGTCCGCCCCCACTTCCCCCCCAGCCCCACGCCCCCCAAAATCTCAAACGTTGTTGTTTGCTTGCCATCGCTAGACAAAAAACACCCCCCCCCCCCCTAGTAGAGCCTCCAATTTTTATAGGTTTGTTCACATATTTTGCTGCAGGAACTTTTTGTTGCTTTAAGAGATCTTAGTTTATAATTAGAGTCGTCGTATTTCTTTTTTGGCGGGGAGGGGTTGCGCCTTTTCCTCGACCGATAGAGCTGGCTGATGGCCCTGGAGATGCGTCGGGTCACGATGCTGAGAAAACCTAGGGTGCAGGGTTCAAGAGTTGCGGAGTTGAGGGCGTTTTGTTGGGCGAACTGCACTCCCCTCCCCCGCTGCATGCTCTTCCCTCATTCCTGCTTTCTTCTTGCCGGCTCATCTGGACAGCTGTCATGTCCAGACAGTCTGTGTACTCGCAACTTTTCGAGATTGAGCTTTTGTTGAAGTTCACCATCGGTTGCCACTTCACGCTGCCGATAGCACTGCTTTACGCTTCTCCTTGTCGTCACACATACACACACTCTTTCGGACTATAAGACAGATCTTTGTTCGACTCCTGCGCAAGCGAATCTTTGCATGATTCTGCTTGAAGCAAGGTTGGTCAGGAGGTGCTGGTAGCGGAAACTTCTCCAAGACGACGGGGCCCCTAACAATTCGCAAGGACCCAGCCACCCCACGCATGGATCGGAGCAGGCCGAGGCGGTCGACGCGCAGAGTTTACAAGTATCCTGCTGTCGCGGAGCATACAGGACGAGCAAGTGAGCGTAAAAGACCTCGGAATGCACCAGGCACAAGACAAACAGCTAGGACGTGTCATCGACATGAAGGCATTAGCTACCTGGCATGGTCTGTGTGATGGTTCGCGGCTTTCGTGTCTCAGAGACGAGCCCACAGAAACGCATCCCGCTTCAGCAAGCGTTCGGTGAAGCTGCGCAAAAGCTGTTCCTGCAACACCACGGACACCACGGATGGTCAATAAGCTTCCTCATCAGCCTGACTACATAAGTGCAGACTCTTCACAAGCCTGAGCCCGCAGCCAACACTCCGGCAATTTTGCGAAAGCTCTGCACTTGCTATCAGCTGTCTGGAAACATCATTCATCGGTGCCGACCCTGTATCATCCAGAGCTACAAGCTACAGTAGGACCCTAAACCCCGAACCCTTCGTTTCCACCCCCCCCCCCCCGGCCACAGCGTCTCGCAGAACGCCGACGACCCCACCAGGTGGCCGCTGCCGGCTCTGCCTTCACAGTTGTAAGGCGAGGCTCGCAAAGAAATTGAAATTCGCTCTCTCGCATCGACCGATATCAGCCTCAGGCCTCATGCTGGGGGCATTGCTACTTGTCTTGTCACCATGGCGCAACCGAGAACAACTCACTCAATGAAGTCTCAAAACGGATCAGAGGCCATCCGATAGCCTCTCTTTCGGCGGCGCTTGGTACACAATGGGTCGAGCGTTCAGCTTGCGCCTGGGAGACTGCGCGAAACCGGCTAGAAATTGCCAAAATGCACACAGTCGCCCAGCGACGTTCCAAACTCGTTCCGGCGTGTTTGGAGGGTTGAAGGTGTTCAACCCCTTTCAACCTTTCCAATGAAAACATCGGGTTGTGGCTTTGAGGACCGTGGCGGTGGCAGATACACTGTACACTGCCCGATAGTGCCGATTCAGCAGGATGAAAATCACTAGCTTTTGACCCATGCGCCAAGGGACTGAAGAGTGGAGCACTGTTGCTCCAGGACGTGGATGTGCGCTTGTAGCTCTGAGACATCCTGCTTGGTGACACGGCAAGTGCTCGGACATGTGCAATTTACTACACCCTTGTTTCTGAATTTGTGGTTCAGCGCTTGTTCGTTGCACCTCTCCGCGAACATGCAAACAATTCTTGGTCGAAGTATTCCTCTGCCCACCCTTCAGCCAGTGCGCTCATCCCTGTCCTGGATGTTGTCGAAGCCGCCGATGGCAATGCCCGGCCCCGACGCAACCTGCAGCAGTCATGTCGCTGTTTCGTTCCGCAGAGCCTGGCCTCTGAATATCTCTGAATCGAATACGGTAGAGACAGTAGAGGTAGACTTGTAGCATTTCTAGGGCCATAGTTGATTCTGGGGGGGTGAGGGGGTCGCAAAAGTCACGTCTAAGGAGGAAGCAGGCTTCTCCGAAGACTCTGAAGGCGGCTCCGCTTCGACCGTCTCCTTGCGGTCTGCAACCCGCAGCCCGACAGTCCCACGGCTGACTCTACGCGGACAGGAAATGAGCGAACTACTAGCAGCAAACCGTCACTCGTACGCAGAGAATATACCGATACATGCACAATCATGCACACACACGCACACCGCTACTTTTGCACAGACAGGCAGGGGAGAGAGACAGAGAGCGAGAGAGCGAGAGAGAGCGAGGGATAGAGCAGCCGCTTTGTTGTTAGCCACCCGAAAGGCTTGAATGAGACCATCCTCCGGCTCCGGCATCCGCGTGCTCGTCTGGGCCGCTGCGTGCGCCTGGTCCTGAGGCTTAGAGACACTTAGAGAGTCTTTTCGGTCTTGGGGAGGATAAGAAGTTTTGGCTGAGACGTCGACCAGCTCAGCTTGCAGCTCGCTGACGCCTTGAAAACAAAAGCTACAGAGGATCAAGCAGTGCCTGCAGCCTACAGTCGACAGCCGTCAGCACATGCTCAACCGACTGAGGCACCATAACTTTGCAACCCTCGCGGAAGGACTGAGTCTCACAACTTCAGCACTTCCTGCATCTTCTTACGGTCCTTACGTCTGCCACGTTGCGCTGCTGCAGCTTGTACATCTGGCCCTCGTATCGCTGCTGGCTTGCCGATGCCTGGACAGAACGTTAGTTGATGTTAGTTGCGTTCCCTGGATGCCTAGTAGAGGACGAAGCAAAGCATCGGGCGTGTGCTTGCGCAGGCTATAACTATCGAAAGGCTGTGAGGCCATGTAGGTGAAAAGACCGGCCTCAGCGACATTCGCTGTTTCCAGCTTGCAGATTTGTCTGCGAGCCACTTCTGCCTGAGACAGTACCCCTGGGCGTCGCAGCCCACAGAATTGCAGCGATGCACAAAAATGCATGGGAAGTCCGCACCAACATTTCAAGTCTGTATGTGAGTGCGAGTACGGGTCACGGAGTGTTGGTCAGCTGCTGTGAGGCTTAAGTCCTCAGACACAAAGTAGTCATGCAGTCCATGTGCTCTGATTGGTGACGTTTAGGCAGGCCGCATTTTTGGGCCAAGGCATCCCTTAAACTTAAACTATCTTAAACTTATTCCTGTCAGGCAGTTCACAACACTGCATTGCACAACGGCCTCAAGAACCACCTAGCGCGACCAGAACCCGAAACACGGTAAAAAACCCTTCGTGCAGTGCCCTTTCGGAAGGAGCCGGCTTCATTTTGGGATAATGATTTGGCCCACCCACCCACCCCCAAAGACTTTGGCAAGGGGTTGCTCCTGCTTTTAGCAGGGTTCCCCCCCACTGCACCCGAATGACATCACGGAGGCGTCGGAGAACCGAAGAAAACCCCCCTTCATAGCATTTTGCGACTGGTTCTCAACTGGCCGCAAAGCCGAGAGAACTTCTCTCAACTCTGCAGGTAGCGGGGCCGTCGCTGTGAAGGTCTTCTTCGCCGCATCCTTCAATGACACTCGGCGGCAGTGCAGGAAAAGGCGTGGACACTCCAATGCCGTGTTCTCGCACAGACCATACGTCAAGTCGCCGACCAAAGGACGCCTGAGACTTGCCAAGTGCACTCTAATCTGGTGAGTTCTCCCGGTATGTGGATAAACCCGAAGCAAAGTGAGCTCTGTGGTCTCATCAACCACATTGCCTGGCGGGTGGTACCTGCAAAGGATCTCATACTCAGTCCTGGCCACGCGTCCATTCGGGGAGATTTCAGCAACTTTCCCTCCGTCTGGTAGCTGACGTGTCATCAAGCGCTCGGCAATCACACCTTTGGCCTCTGGAGTTCCCAAAGACATGCCTTCACAAAGGCAGAGATACTCTTTGCTCACCAACCGTCCTGCAAAGCAGCTCCGGTACCAAGCAGCTGCAGGGGAGTCCACGTCGTCTAAGACAATCGGGAGCACTCCGGAAGTTGGCAAATCGAGCCGGGAGACCATGGACAAAGGACGGCCAAGCAGCTGATGAAGTTTGTTCACCAGCACTTCGGTTTGTACTCCTGCACAGCATCTGGAAGAGCCGTTCAAACATGCACAAGTACCCGACCTGTAGACACAGAGTTGGGTCAAGTAGATCA